TCATAAATTATTTTTTTAAATAAATAGTTTCAGCAAAAAACGTTTGATTTCATAGGTAGGTACTTTTTATTCAACTGGTGCAATGTATTTTATTTTCTAGATTGTAGTACCTGATGATTTGAAAGATTACATTAACGAATTGCATGAACATTGCTTGAAAGAGCTGGGTTTAACCGAAGGTTCTTCTAATTTCTCATAAATTCAGTTTTTTATTGTTGAATAATTTTTGTTGTAGATGATCATAAAAATTACAACATTCATAATAAGGACCCCAAAATGATGGTAAATACTTTTCTAACTTTCAATAATTATTTCAGTATGAAATAATAAATTAACTTGCAGTGTTATATGAAATGTTTGATGACCACTTCAAAATGGGTAGGTATCTACTTTAATAACAATATTTTTTTGTTATTAGTGTTCTTATTTGTTTTAGATGAATCTTGATGAATCGATTCAATATGATTTTATATTAAGTAGTGTCCATCCTGCCGTAAAACATATTTTACTTCCGGCGTTGGATAAGTGTCATGATATCCCAAGTAAAATCATAAAAAATTAAAGTAGYTGTCAAATTTTTGTTTTAGAAGGAACAATGGAATGTGAAAAAGCTTATAATTTCAACTTGTGTATGTTTAATGCAGATCCTGAGGTAATAACTAATAAATAATTGAAAGAATATAACAGGATACAAACTACAATTACTTATTTCAGAACTGGTTCTTCATCTAACTCATTTCACATTTGCTCTTAATTTTTATGGATTCTGGAATTTCGATACGAATGTTGCATTATCAAAAAGATGTTATTAAAAAGGTACTAACAATAACTAAATTAAATAAATAGTCTGTTGCTTGCATGATTTTTTTTGTGGTTTATATTTTTACTAGTACATATATGTAACAGAGTGAACACAAAGTATAAAACCAATCGTTTTTTGTTTAAACTATTAAATTTACTTTAGAAAAAGAAAACTAAATAATAAATGATAAGATAGATAATCGTTTTTGTAACATATATTTTTTGTTTTTGAGTTGACAGTGATCAGTGGATAATGGTCGAAAAATAACAAAAGTTAGTTACTGCTTGGTCCATCTCAAGCTACCAAAGATCTTTTATTTACAATGGGAATCTCTGCTTCTTCATTGTGAACAACSCACAATTAATGAATAGTGCACAGGATTTTTAGAGAAAAGATTTTTGAACAAAATGAGAAAACTTTATTAAATCTACATTCAGAATACAGTAGATACGCATAAAAATTATAATACACACTATGAGAACAAGCTTCAACTTAGGAAAGCAATTAATATCTATAACWTGATCATGGATCAATTAACTACTAAATTATTGATTTGGTATACATTAACATTACACATATTCTGACATATGTAGAAGGAACAAAGATCCGGACGTCCTAAAAAACAAAAGATTTCCATAAAGCACGTGCCAATAGAACCGAAACAGATTTAGATACGAAATTACAGTGTCTTTATTAGTTTTAATTTTATTACTATTAATAAGGCTCAGGGAGTTCCTAATTGCTTTTACAGTCAATCTTACACGAAGTGTGGTTACTCTGAATCACATTTATTTTGACGAAACAATTTACAGTACGAGTGTTAATTACCCAGAAACATCAAATACAATAATGACTACTGATTATTGAGTTCATAATGTAGTAAAAGCACTCATACTCAAACGTCAGAAGAAACGTCATAGGCCAATTGCGATAATTTTTTTGGTTTTGTCAGGTGTACAAAAGTAAAGCAACCCACAAGGACACATACAAGTAAGACACTTATGTTTAAATTCAAGTTTGCAAAAATATATTCAAGAAAACAAATCGGACGCAGTAGCTACACTTGATGAAAGAAATAAGTGCAATCACTGGCTTTACGAATTGACGATGCTAGGCCTTATGTCTACATGAACATTACTCTACAAGCTGCGGACCGAAATATCGTGGGTCACTTATCACTTATTGCCACTCGTACTCTAAGAGTAGTTCAATCAGTCGATTAGTCCTACAGCTCTATCTAATTATATCAAATAAATTATTAATGATAATCAGATACACGATACATTATTTTATACATGAGTGTGAAAAACAGTCGTTTATTCGTATTGTATCTCAGAAATATTCGCACCGTCCGCGATGATTAAAATTTCATAACATTCTAACAATTATTTATAAAATTTGTAGCGATAAAATTTCCATTTTTGATCTTCATTCTTTGGCCGTGATAAAATTCCGATGCGGACAATCCGAATACTCGAAAGAATTGTCAAGTAAACACGAAAACGTAGAAATCGAAGAAAAGTCACTAAWCAAATTATAGCTAAAGYACACCATCACTACACTCTAGTCCCAGTCACTTTCTTCTTCTTGATACTCTTCTTCTTCGTCGTCAGCGGGACTACGTGTCATTTGACGCGACTTCTTCAACGCTAGGAGCGCCGCCTCTTCCGGGGTTCTCTCTTTACGGAACTCATACACCAAAGGAAAAATGTATTCGATGGCGGCTTGAACGTCAGCCACACTCGGCGCTGTAATCACAAATGCAAATATGTACACTCCAATTAAAAAGTACCATCTCAACCAAAGTACTGTTATGACTTAATTAATATTGGCGACTGTTTTAATGTGGGAAAAACGCTTGTACTCATTTACATTTTTACAAATTGACATGAAAATAACTCAATAATTTATTTCAAATTTAAAACTGTTACTACCTACTATTGTTTTCAATATATAAYTGAATTTTGATTATTTAAATTTACTGTTAGTATTAAGAWTCTAAAGCTAATTAAAATTTATCATCGAAATTCCGGAATCTGCTATCACTTGAAATATTCACGGGAAAATTTTGATTACTATCACTTTGAATTAACGCAACGGTCGAGATCATGACCTCAGTCCCTTATAAGAGACGATATAGAGTTCGACTTGCACGTTTCACAGGTCATTCATTCATTTGAYCCGAGTTTATTTTAATTACTAATAAAAGCAAAGTTTACTTTTTTAAAATTGAATTTTTAATAACACAGAATGCTTTTAGTTYTGGCTACATTCATTCCTTTTAGAAACCAAACTCAAAGCAAATTACATTGTTAATCATTACATTATCTAGACAGCACAGAAGCAGTTCAATAACTAAATTATAAATTAACTAGAATGCCGTTGAAGAAGTTATAAACATATTAACAATAACGTAAAGAACGTCCATATCAATAAATTATAGTGCTATGAGATAATAAATTTTCTTGAAGTAAATCATTTAACCTTAACACGAGTTTAACTTTTTAGAATGAAAATAAAAGCCTTTTAAAACGTACATTATCCACATTCACTTATCGCACGTTTGTGATGTCACACAAATTAAAAAACATAAAAGTGATAAAGTTTCCTTTATTCAGTATTAAACTAATTCCCCAGAAAGTTGAGGAAAGTTTAACAAAATTGCCAAAGTCCCCAAAGAAGCTAATATGTTTTACAATACCAAATTAGGTTTTTTACATTCTCAGGAGAACATTTTTTCCTAAATGATGTTCAGTTTTAATAATATCAGGTTCGTATTAAGTATGCATAATAGAGAAATTTGAAAACTGATTACTGAAAAAATATTTTCGTAATAATGTATTTCTATTACAATGTGTTAATGAATTCCAATTTACCTCAAATCAAATTAATTGACTTTCGGCAAAAAGTATAACAAAATAGATTTTCAAACCATTCCTTATCAGTTTCTCTTATCTACTGCTAATAAAAACAATTGTATGCACAATAAATGTTAATAAAGTGGGCAGATCGTCCATAAAGTATTTATAAATCTTTACTTCTAACAGAAACTTTTTAAATACTAACAAACAAAATTTACTGCTCTCGTGTGTGTCTAAATCTGCAGTAACGTAACGTACTCGTACTGTTGACATGTTTAAAAATATATAAAAAATAGTTTTACAGAGAAAAAAACGCATACATTTTTAACGATTGTCTGACGTGTCTTTCACACTTACCTAGTAAAGAGAAAATTGCGCAAGCAACAATAACAATTTTATTGATTATTATTTATTGTTATGACTACTGTTAAATGTGTAAAATAAATTCTATTACTTAGTTTTTTCTTAAAAAGAAAAATCTGGTGCAGTGATGTAATCTTTACATTGAAAATGAGGACAAACAATTCAAAATTCGATAACAGATTTTATGATTTTTGATTTTATAATAGAAAATCGATCAATAAAGAAATATCTCATCAAATTTTTGAGTCACCGAATAACCTGATGAGTCATTAATCGCAGTAAWTTTTTTTTAATGTAGTAACAGATAGACCACAATGATGTGGAAAATGATTAGCTTGGTATGTATGCACTTAAAACAATAACAATGGCAAATAATTTAGTGTAAGATAATTTGCCTAATAATTTTTTCACTACCTATTTTAAGTTCATTATTTAAAAAAAGTTAGTGAATGCTGTATCTCAAATGTTCCTAATTTACATTCAGAAGCTTTTTTATCAGCAGTAATACATAAATAGCCTTGTTAAATATGTGATATAACTAATCAATATTACCTGTAACAGTAACACTGCCTGTGGAAAATATCTTTAAGGTGGCTTTAGGACTTTGTAGTTTGTACGTGACTCCGGGATGTAATTCAGGTTCATAACTGCAAAAACCCAATAAGAAAAACACTCAAAAATAAGCAAAATCATACTCAGCCTCTTTGTGCCTTTCTGAAAACGAATTAATCTTGATCGCAAACGGCATCGAGCAGGTCCCCAGCACATTAACCACTCTGTAGTTGTTGAAGCGCACCTTAAACCCTAGTTTTTGTAAACAACGAGCGAACCTCCTCGCCGCGATCTTGGCTTGCAGCTCGCTGGTGGCCCCCGTACACGTGACCTTCCCCGAGGACCAGATGCTGGCTGTGGTGTAGGGCCGTCGCAGTTTCATCGTGATCTTGCCATTTTCCTTGCGGTATTCGACGTTGATACCGTTCAGAGCGATTTCGCGTAAGTTCAAGTGGCACCGAACACTAAAACTGCACACCACGTTGTTTATCATGATGTCTATCTCGGGCTCCTCTACCGCACTGTCACCGGCGGCTGCCTCGGTCTGATGTACGGGCTCGGGGGCGTGGACTTCCTCCACCTCGCCGCTGTAGCCGTTGAGGGGTTGGTGAACCAGGCCGTTGCCGTTGGATAGGCCCTCGAGGCTGTTCTTCTGAACWGCGGTGGCCATCATAGTGACAGCCCCCCAACCGGTCCTGAAACAGTCCATTGTTCTCAAAGTGCTTTGAACTGGACCCTGATAGAAGCCCCGAACACCAATTTACGCAATTTAGCGCTTCCCAAACACTTCCAGCCAATTAATATTAAGGACAAGGTACTAAATTAATGACTTGCATGTCATGGAACAAAAATATCTGACACGAGCTAGGGGGTGTTCCCTCAAGGTTCCTACAACTGTAAAAACATGACTTAGTGTTGTGGGTGGGAATATTAATAAAAAACTCCACAAGAAAATAAATATTTATGAAAACAAAATACGAGTTTGTACCTTATAGGATACAGGAAGGAAGTCCTTAAAAGAACAATTTGTGGAAAATCATGAAGGCGTGCTAACTGGTATTTATCTTACCTATCACGAGTTACTGCGATTTGTGCTAAATTTCAGTTTTGTTGATTTGGTCCCTTTTACACGATTCGTGACGAAAATCTTATTTAATGAAATTTTTGCCATTGTGCGAAGCCATGATACACACTCACTACAGATGAAATCGCACTGACGGAACGGCGCTGATGGTTTTTAACTCTTTATTGTTAGGTTTATCATACTGTCAAAAGAGGGTGCTCGAGTGCACAATTTCAAAAATTAGTTTTTAATCGTCACAACTTATTTTCTTTCTCTAAATAAAAATATATTTTGTTTTTAGCTTAATCAAATACTTTTAATTATTGTTTTGTATTTTTTTTTAAAATTTATAAAATATATAATTTCTTGAAACGAAGAAATTTATAGAAAATGGTTTACATCCGAACTATATGTCAAAAAGACGTGGCCAGAAAGTAGCACATGTCAAGTAATATTTATATTTGATATTATAATTTCTGACTACAAAAAAGTTCAAGCAATCTTTATTTAATCAATAGAGAATAACAATTAAAGATTTTTTATAATAATTTCAATTTTCTTCAGCTGTGATACCAGTTCTCATCTAAATGTTGTCGAAACATTTACGCAATTATTCCTAAAATTGTTATTAATTTAAATTACGTCATTTTTTCATAAATTATTGCAAGATGTTGCATTAGCTTACAAATAGTTAAAATGAATAGTTATTAAATCGCAAACTATGGTGTATTGTTAGTTGCATATTATCAGGCGTAGTTAAATAATTAAAAAAAAATTATTCCTAAATTATTTATTATTTTTGTAAAACTAAAATTATTATGCAAATACGTAGTAAGTAAAAAAATGACCTATTAATTTGCATAGTAAAACACTTATCAAGCAGGTAAAAGAGAACAAAACACTGATAAAATATTACAATAACTTAACAAGTTCTAAAATATGGGTTAATTGCAAAACTTAATATAGCCTCCATGAAAGTAAACATAAAATCTACTCATAAATCATTTAACCCGCTATTACTTTAAGACTGTAAATACAAAGTTTATAAACTATATTTAGCTATATTTGGGTAATTACTTATTAATTCAGTAATTATTTTTTTTTAATTTTAAATAATTAAATGTCAAAGTTATTTGTTATAAATGTCACTGGCAAAAACAATAATTTTATTTGTAGGATTTATCTACGTAATCGAATGCCGTCTAATTAGCAAAAATTTCAACAAATTAATTATTGGTAAGAAAATGAAGAAAATATTCTGAAAATACATGTTTCTGTAGATTTAACTGAAGATTGTGTAAACAATTATTACACAAGTATCCATCTACCTTATGGGACAGGATCTTCAGATGCTCGCATCATTTTACTGCGACCTGTCCCATCTTATACCAGAAATTGCACCATTGATATTATTAGACCACAGTACCAAAACAGCTGTGAGGATAAATGTATGACCATCGTGGTGGTCGAATTTTTTAATTATAAAACACTGCAAAGTTGCACCATGAACGGGGGCGTATTTATGGTAAAGTTGGACAATTTTATTAAAACCTAATTACAAAAATAGGTTTCTGGCAGTAAATTATTTGAAGATGTTTGTGCAGACATGGACAGTAATCCAAACCAAACAAAAAGTGAACGGGAACACCAAATGCACGCTTATGTGATTCGTGATAGAAACTTTTCTATTAAAATTGATTTCCAAAATTTTTTTGGGACGATTAAAATAACAGCGACTTCAGGAAAATGTTTGTGCGATGTTTTTTGTGATTCATGAAAATAAAATAAATGTTTACAGTTTTAGGCACTTACGGTAACTGCACTTCAAACGAAATTGTTTGCATATTAGATGGCCAAGTTTTCTGTATTGATAAACTGCTGGAATGTGATGGCAATTTTAATTGTGGTACTCCGAAATTATATGACGAGTATTGTAGCAGTAAGTGAAAACTTATGAAAATAATTTCAATTTTCACAAACTCTTACAGATTTATATGTACAAGAAAACATATTACTGATGATAATATATGGAGTTTGTCTGGTGGCAGTTATGATGTTTTTCCTTATTCAGCTGTTACGTGTTTGTGTGCCAAGTGTAGCCGATCATTTCTTCGTATTTCACGAAAGCGATGAGTACAAATTTGTTTTAACGTCACAATCTTTGCCCCCACTTGAGCCTTACTAACAGTTGGAGGAATGCCAGAAAGGACAAAGAGTTTCGCGATGTTAAAATTTTCTAACTAAAACGAAAAAACAAATAAACAGTCTGTGTAAAAGTCAATTTTTTATTTATGTTTCATCGCCATGATGTGATATAATTAATTTCCATTTGAGCGATGTAGAAGATTTATTCACATCATCTGCTTCACCATTAGGTGTCGGTTTAAGATGCAGCTCTTGCAGAGTTGATGTTTTACACGTCGTCATCTCTTCATACCMCCTTTCTCCTTGATTATTTTGCAACTGTAAGTAAAATCCACCAGTGATTCAAATCTGCAAAGCCAGAGTTAAAACTTACTATATTATCTGCTTTGAGAGTACCTGTAGTAACAGGTGTGCCCTCACAACTAATTGCATAGTCTATAGAAAAACGTGAATCTTCAACAGAGAAAAATTCGTCAGAAGAATGATTAAAAATCAACTCTAATTTCTTTCTGTTGTGAGGAGTCATATTGTCTTCACTACAACAAGTCACATAACTATCTGATTTGTTGTCTTGTTGCTTGTAGCGACTCATTTTAAAACAAATATCAGCCAGACTGTCATGAGCTGTGCTTGTGGTTGGAGCGCTTTTACTCTTTGTTGGAAAATCTACTTTTGGTCTTTCTTCACGATCAGTGTCGTTGTCAAGAAGAACGGTTTCCGCACTGTRGCTTGCACAGTCCACTGTTAAACAATCAAATTTTTGGATATTTTTTGGTGATGGAGGATGTTTAGAAAGATGCTGAGTGTTGTCTTGTTCTCGGTTTAACATTTCTTGTCTTTTTATTTGAAGATATTTGCTCAATATTGTTTTCACAAGTTGATCTTTTTGCTCTCGATCTTCCACACTGGAAAGCTTGTTAGAAAGTTCCGGTTCTTTAGAATCACTCTGTATCTTCTCTAAATATGCCTGGGATAGAAGCATGTTATTGTTAGGRGTTTTATTTTGTAATTCTGCCTCAGGATTCAACACGAAGAAAGAAGACGTCCGATATGTAACAGAAACTTCGTGTTGAGCAGTCAACATTTTAGATGTAGACTGAAGTTGCTTTGAGGCATGTTTCGGAACTTTGGTAGTTTTAGAACTGCTACGCAAACTTGTCGAATCATCAGACTCATCGTTTTTTGTTAAACAAATAAAACAGTTGAGAAAACTGGATTTTTTCGGTTTATTCTTCTTTTTCTGCTTTAATTTTTTTCTTGCCATGAAATAATGGAATTTTACATTTGACACTTTCAAATTGCCACTTTTTTGACATTACAAGTTACAAGAAGACGACGAAGATAAGCAGCAGGTGTGTGGTCTCCTTTAGCTTCAAATGTCTAAAAAAAATTCTCAAATGTCAAAGATATGTCACTGTCGGTTAAAAATTATAAAATATCGGTTTTATATGAATAAATAAACGTTCTTCGTGTAAGAGTACGTATATAATCGATGTAGAAGAGATATGTAAATAGCGACATGTTCCTTTTAACGTTACTTGTCTTGATATTTTCTCCCTTTGGTGTCATAACCTCAAAACCGGATAAATTCACCGAAGAACTTTTAATAAAACCTCTATACAGCGATCAATTGTACGTCCATTTCCACTTTGCAACAAAGTGGGATACGAATCRGGAACAGGAGACATGTAAATTACCCAATATTTGTGTAAATTTAATTCGCAGTTATGTTAATTGCAGTCAGACACACTCATATCTTTCCTCGTGCCCTCGGCGAAATAATCGAAAGGTACAATGTACAGGAGCTCCACGTGTCATTAACTGGAGGTTTGTGGCGATATGAAACTTGGGGTTATCCGATCTTAGACGCTGCACCTGGGGCTGAAGTATGGGCTTGGTTTAAGGAGAATACAGAAGATGTAGACCAGAATTGGAAGTTATTGGCGAGTTCTTTGTCTGGTTTGTTGTGCGCGAGTTTGAATTTTATAGACAAAGCAAATAGTATTAGTCCTGAATATACTTTTAAACCTAAAGGGGTATTTTCAGGCGCTAATTTAAATTCATCATTTGTTAGGTAATTATTGACGATGCAAGTGAAACTATTGTATTAACATGTGTGTTTTGTTGTAGATACTCGAGTCTCCCGCGTGAGATTGTCTGTACTGAAAATCTGACACCCTGGAAGAAGCTGTTACCTTGTGAATCAAAAAGTGGCTTAGCGTCACTTCTAAACTCAGGTTATATTCACAACACGCGTTATCATTCAATCGCTATACATATGCGTCCGGTTTGTCGCGACAGTTCTTGCGAAGTCGCTTCTTTAGAGTTGCAACAATCAGTATCACTAGTTTATGATTATTTAATTTTGGGTACGAAAAACTGGTCATTTAGGAAAATATTCGGTCAGGGATTGATGGGCCGGTGCCCTTTGGCCGAAAGTAGCACAATATTCGTGGATACCACCAGTAATTCTAGTGTTCCATTTCAATTATCCCCAAGTCCTGACGATTACGTGACATCAATTCGCGGAGGCCATGTCAACACTTTTGCTAAATACGTCGTGAAGCCGTACGCGATGAGTCTTAACGCGAATTTTTTAGGCAAAGAAAGTGTATTACTAAACTCGCCCCCGTCTCTCCACGCCAATCAATACATCACGGGCTATGGCCAGGAGAGAGGAGGAATTGTCACGAAAATTTATAACAACCATTGGAGCAARTTGGACGTGGTGGTCCTCCAGAACATTCCATGGTACGTCCCTATATACCTCCACACGTTAAAAATCGAAGTTGACGGGGTCAAAACCGAACCGTTGAAACTTCGGTACATTCCCGGTCGACAGAGGGAGCGTCCTTACCACCTCGAGATCTTGCTAAAGTTGCCGGCGCGTTCCGTAACGTCAGTTTCCGTTGATTTCGATTACGTATTTTTAAAGTGGCAGGAGTATCCCCCCGACGCCAACCACGGGTTTTACATTGGCTCAGCTATTGTTTCGGCTAACTTACCCTTAGCGAGGAATTTTACCGGCTTGCCACAAGACGCCTCAACGATAGCTGATAGTTTCAACGCGTCGAGGAGTGGTTACTTGGTGCAAGTTCGCACGGAAAATATGGTGATCACACTACCGACGCCCGATTTTAGTATGCCTTATAACGTAATTTGCTTAGCGTGCACTGTAGTTGCTTTAGCGTTCGGACCGTTGCATAACATCACGACGAAAAGACTTGTCTTGACGGTCAAAGACAATGAGAAACTTATCGTCAAGATTAAAAATAAAATCATGAAGGTTTTTACCGAAAGGAGAGGAAGTGAAGAGAAACAAAGTGTTCAGTAATTGTGAATTTTTATTAGTGTATTTTTTTTCACATCCAAAGACTAGTTTTTATAAAAATAAACAAAAAAAGTGGAATTGTGTTTTCATCACTTGACCCTTGATTCAGTCAAAAAAGGGATTACTGAGACCGGTGACTAGTAGTGTTAGTTGTAAAATTATTATTATAACGCGACTCATTTATACTACAAATAATTATTTATAAAGTGAGACAATTTAAAGACAGTCTAATACTGGCAAGTACCATGCGTACAACTAAATTTTTGATTAAAGTGGCTTTACTACTCCAAAGTAGGTCACAAATTTGATATTTTAATTTGGTAACATTGACTACCAGATTCATGGCCGTCATGTAATATATCCTAATGTAGCACCATATCATCTATCTTTTGTCCTTACATTATTCAATATTGCCAACATTCAAAGTCACAAAAGACTTTATTCACAAATTTTATTGAATATATAAATACTTCGAATTGCATTTTTTACTTTAACTTTTTGCAATGTTTTGCATGGAAAAAACCAACATTATGAATTGTTTCTCATTTGCAAATGTCCAAAAGCTCGTCACAAGAGGCCATCCTATAGAATGAAAAATGCAACATTTCATCAATTGTATGTTAAAGTTGGGAACACATTCTAATACGACTGAACGGTTTGTTATTTTGRTGACTCACTTTTTACCCAAACGAGGAACTTATTAACAAATTAGTTTTTACTTATTWTGTTAGAGTTTTCGTTAATAAACTCCTTATTGGCCCTCCCTACCACCTGCACCAATCACAATTTTGACTCGTCTTAACAATACACAATGGCAAAAATGACTACTAAGAGACCTAACCAACTAGAACGCAGGGAAGCCGTGCTGCCTTTMCCTTCCTTACTCTCCTCTGCAATTTGTGGATTTGCTTCTGAGGTGCAAATGTCACCACAGTCCTCATTCTCACATATATCACACAAAGTTGACATTCTACTTCGGTAAAACTGTCTCGCCCGTCTCGCTAAAAACAACATAAATGAACACAAAAATTTTAAATTTGATTTTAACTTACAACTGTCGTAATAATCAAAAATTAAAACCGAGACAGGTTTCTGGTTTGCGACTTTATGTGTCCTAAATGCAGACACTGTCGGACAGTATTCGTATAAACTTGTAACATTGTTGAAGTAGAGGATAACCTTAGTCAAGCCATTACGCATTTCGACTTTTTGAACATTTTGCGACACTTCTAGGCTTGGTAGAGAGTCAACATCGGCAGTGAAACCCGACGGGAGGTTGACTTCCATCACTGCCATGTTGCTTTCTGGAGTTTCACTCAAATTTCGACTTACAAATCTGCAATTTTTGGGTCATTCAAATCTAGATTAAAATTTTTGATACTCACCCTGTGCAAATCGACACTTGTAAGTGGTCCTTATTCGAATTTTTATCCACTTGTGGATCCAGAGTAAACATGGGCCAAGGCCCGGTTACATTCATATTATACTGATACGAAACCCTAAAAACAGCCAAACCCTTTCCCTGGGCTGTCACATTAACTTCACGTATGTTTTTCGGTAAKTCAAGTTTTTGAAGAATCATTGCATTATTCTTATTAACATTAAAATTGTGTCGTTGGTCTTTGTCGTAAGTGAATTCAACTTGCATATTAACATTAGTTGCTAACTTCAGGACTAGTTTATAAATTGCGTAAAGTCCCACGAAAGTGTCTTGGGATGAAGTGAAACCCCCGAGACTGTTCTGTTGGTCTAGTAGCCAATTCAGGACAGGAATTGCGTCTTCGAAATAATTAGCTTCAAGGAAAGTTAAAAGACCATAAGCCGAAGTTTCGATATCGATCGATCGCGGCAGTTTGTTCCAGGGATTTTTAATCTCATTGCTTGGGATGTCTTTGGACCACCATTTTAAGTTCCCTCTGCTTTTTGAACGAAGATCAAGCAAGTTGAAAGCGCTTTGTTTGGAAGGGTGACGAGCTAGTTGAAGTGTGTAGCTACAAAGGGCTATAGTGTGGATTGATTCTTGTTCAGAAATGTATCTAGCAATGTAATCCAATCCTTTATTAATTGTGTTACTGTATGTGGATGCATATTTCTGAAAAAAAAACAACTCATTTTCGATTTTTGTGTTTTTTGGAAAAAATACCTGATTTTCGATAAAGGCCAAAAGAGTAAAAGCCGTCAAAGCTAAACTGTTTCCTTCCCGACTTTGAATCTCTTTATAAACAACAGATCCAACTTCAACAAAACTTCCATTCCGGCCTTGAATATTCGCCAGCCATTCTAGACAACCTTCAATGATCTTTTCATCGACGTAAATATGATTTTTCGCTTGTTTTAGAGTAAGTGCTACATAAGCTGTAATCCTGCAAAAAATATTATTAGAAATTTATTTCGAAATAATTTATGTAAAATACCAAACACTGCTTTTCTCATCTCTCATTCCAAAAGCACTAAACGATCCATCTTTACGTTTGTAACTCAACTGTTGTTGATAACCCTTTTCAAGCAAATCCATAGCTTCGTTTTGGATAGTAGGAGTCATTTGTCTCGTGTAGCGCAGATATTGCAAAATTATTAAATTAGGCATGAGATGAATCAAATTTTGTTCACCACATCCTGTTGGAAGTCTTATCAAATTTTCAAGGTGGACCATAGTCGGGCCGAGAAGATCACCAACAGCTGAAACCTCGATTTTTTCAGAACCAGTCACCATGTTTTGAGGGATGGTGAAATTGATTGTTTTTTTGTAATTGGGGTTGTTGCGTAAATCGATGAGAACGGTTTTTGTGTAAAATTCAGTCTCCCCTTCAGTCTGAAAATACAAAAGTTAGGAAAAAATCGCACAACTGCACGACTTATTACTGTGACTTGAAGATATTTAATTGCAACATCTTGGCTTTTTGGACTATTTGCTGTAACTTTTATTTCGATTGTGTCTTGTTTTAAMGGCCTTATCATGAATGATACTGAACTGCCGCTGTTTCGTTTAATGTTAATTTTTTTGCGTCTGTACAACTCAATTTCTGGAATTTCAAACGTTAGTTTCGACCAATCAAAATGAAGACTTACTTCTGGTCGAATTAATATTATTAGAAATTTCAGCGAACTCAAATTTCTGTTCAGGATTGTGAAGTGTGACTTCAGCATTGACATCCTTATCCATATAATTGTAAACAACCACTGGCACAGCTAAAATCTCTCGCRGTTGTACCGAAAACGGCAAATCAAGAGTCACGACGAAACTTTTGGAAACTTTGACTTTTTTAGGAGTTGTGCTCAATCCTAGCCCATGAATAGGATCTAAAGAAAATCCAGTAACGACCCAAGTGTTTAGAGAACTTGGTATTTTTCGGCGAATTGAAGTTTTGCCTTCGTAACCCGACGAGAAGTTGGTGAAAAGCCACGTGTCGGCGATTTCTTCAGTCAAGTAAACTTTAGGTTTGTTCCAAACAGGTTTAGGAATTCGGCTGAAAGCGTAAGGACCTGCAAGGGGTGGCCGAGTGACTGTGTGGAGAGGTAAGCCGAAGCCTCGGTCAGGTTTGACAGTGCTAGTGCCGTAGAAAACTGGGCGTAAATAAATATCTTCCACTGAAAGGAAAAGAATTAATCAATTTTTTTTTATAATAATTGTTATTACAAGTCGGTTGGTGTCTATTGACATGAGAGTTGGTCAATAAGTCGGCTCCAGAACTCTATAAAAGACAAAAAATAGTCGATTTTAATTTTTGAGAATTAGAAATAGTTACATAGATGGCACTGTGGGGGTTGGCTGCTCCAGGTTTCCAAAAGAAGTGATATTTGCTATCGTGCATGATCATTGAATAGGGTGATTGTTGGGCCGGGTCGTATTTTTTCAACTCTTCTGCCACTTCACTGTGCGTTATATCAAAACCTGGTCTRATTTTGATTGCGTTTTGGTCAACTGCCATTATAGCAACGTACGAATTGGGTTGGGCCCTGATAGCTATATCGATATCAAGTTCAGGTTCAGTTTCCACCGGGTTGACTTGAATTTCCATCTAAAATTTCAATTTTATTTCAAAAATTGCATTTTGAAATTCCCGTACGTAGTTTTGCAAAAGTCCGTCAACTTCAATATCAAGAGCATCTCCTATTAATTCTCCATCGTCACGCACGTAAGACACTATGAGGTGGGCAACCGGTACCATAGCACGTGTTGCAGTGAAGTGAAACCGATATTCGTGCATGTTGTCAACTTGGAAGGTGTTGGCATTAAGGACATCGCCTCGTCCCATTAGGACGTAGCTGATGTATCTTAAACGTTCAGTGCAGTTCACTAAAATCTCGACATCGAGGTTGACGATAGGTCTCTCAGTCTCAAGTGACACTTGAAGGAAGGTGTTACTGTAGGAAACTGCAGCAGGAATTGGCGAAATGCGTTCTTTGAGATCCTGGTATTGGGCCTAAAACATTATTGAAGATTTGTAATTAGGTCAGCACATTTTTCATTAGTTTTGGAAGTTTAGGTTTTAAAAACAACAAAGACAATTTTTCAGAAAAATTCTACTGAGCTTCATTGTTTTATGAATCATTGGAAATCAAAAAATATAGTTGTGTTGTTGGCGGTTTCCAGATAGAAACAGTATGTATTAAAACAAAAAAATGGTAAAAAAGTAAAGGTATTAAAAAAATGTAATTTGATCACTTGGAATACTTGGAAAAAATTGTACCTCGATTCTGAGAGCAGTAGTGTTTGTAACATTCATCGGAGTATAATACTCCAATTTAACAACACCATTTTTATCCAACTTGTATTTCTCGGTAACGTAGACCTCATCAGCTCGTGAATAACCGTATCTGACAGTAATTTCCTTATTTTCTGATCTTAGGGGAGTCCCATCATGATTTGAAACCTTGACCTACAATTTCATTTAATAATCATTTGAAAAAGAAACTTACGGGAACTTTATTACATAAGCGGTATATTTCAGACCCGGTTTGAAATAATCAGCTGTTTTAATTAGATCCATTTTATAATTATATTTATGCAAATGGACTTCGACTGAATTGTTTTGTCGGCGCCCCGTTGAAGCTTCCTCAACAGTTACATCAACCATGACGACTCTTTCGTATTCATCAGTGAGTTTGAGTTCTTTGACAATGTCGAATTCAACAGTAGCCGAACCTTCGATTGGGATTACTTTCCGGATTGGGTTTTGGAAAATAGGTTGAATGACTCCGGAGAAAATTGTCGGATAAACGGTCACGGTGGCCTCTCCTTTGACTTTTTTCCCATAATTGTATCTACGATTTGCTAATTAAACAACAGTTTCATTATTAAAATGTCGTTTTACTGGGTCTGAATATTTGCAACAAGGATGTTTTCCTTGAACGTCATGTGTTTGGGCACTTGAATGTTTACAATGAATTTTGGTAAAATATATTCGGCGACTTCTATTGATTTGCTGAATGTTTGTCCGTGGATTTTGACTGAAATATTCCAGTTGCCCAAAACTGGACTCTCGCTCAATTTCACTTCTCCAGTGAAGACTCCTCGCAAAGCTTGGATCCCTTTCCATTCCTTAATCCTATTCCCTTGTCCGTCCTGACAAAATAACTTGAGTAATAATCAACAACGGGAAGTAAAACAAACCGTCACAAAAATGTGAAGTAGTTCATTCCGGACTTCCGCCGCCGGTTTCAACTGCGAGTTGAGTACAACAGCCCGGAACAGAACTTTTGATCCGGGTTTGTAAACCGCTCTATCGGTTTGAATAAACACCGAGTAGCTTTTTTCCACAAACTCCACTGGATAGTCGGAATAAAAATCAACCCCGCCTTTTCCGGACACTACTAATTTATAGTCCCCGTAGTCCACGTCCCCGACTTCCAACCGGAGGATTCTTGAAGTGTAGGGTTGAACTTCTACCCGATCGTCGCTTGTGTAGATCGAACCGTTAGGGGAAATACCTTGAAGAGTTGCTCTGACTGTCGTAGGCTCAGATGTTTGTTGGATTGAAATGGCAACGTGGTATTCGCTGTTGGGGCGGACCGCTCTTGGCCCCACGACCTTGTAAAACCTACACGAAATCCCCAAAAATTTATTTACTTTCTAACTTGATTTTGTCAATAAATTAAACTAGTGAAAGTATTGGCAATTATACCATTAATGGACCAGTTGCAGGAATTTTCAAGAAGTGATTGTTAATATGCATTGAAGGAAAAAATTCGAGAAAATTGTAACAGGAGTTACTTTCACGTGTCTGAGAATTTGTTTCGTTAATTTTTATTTTCGTGTAGGTAAGTTGCTAGAACAGGTCTGATTTTGTGGTGTGGCTACATTTTTTAATCATTGTTAACACTTGAGGAATTTAAACAATCAGTTCAATGGACGATATCAGTACGGAAATAGCCATAATTTTTATTTACAATAGCTTGTCTTTATGCATTCGTGTTTAATATATACTTAATAACTAGGTTATTTATATTATAATAACTGCCATTAACATATTAGCGCTTCGWAGTGGATTAAAAACGTGTTATTAGAATGAGCAAAAAACAAAAATTATGGGGAAATAAAAATCACTCATGCAGAAACACTTGTTATTTGATGACTTGAAATTTAGTTTCACTTCTTTATAAGACCTTTCTATTTTTTGTAAATGTCAACAGAACCAGAAAAATGTTCAAAATAATGTTTAACAGGTTCTTTGTTACGGAACATGTGGGCTTAGTATTTCGCTCACGCACTTTTTACATCACTAGATGTAACACGTGTGTACCTATATGGAAAGTGAAACTGAAGTATGTTATAACGAAAGGAAATTTCTGTTTAATTTTCACTCTTCAGATGATGTGCGARTTCTTATAAGGACTTTCGGTCCTATACATATACAATGTTGCAGTTTTTGTCGAAACAACGGAAAATACCAAATTATTTCAATAAAAATTGTCCTTGATTGTTGACAGTTTTTATCCAATTATGTATTAAGATCAAGATCGTGTTATTGTTTAGTCAATGACTGTTTTAACTTCTACTTTTATTGAATAATAATAAAAGCGAGAAACCTTGAAATGCATACAGCGATGTTATTTTACATTTATTAGCGACACTAATTAGGGAATAAAAAAAATTCTCATACACCTAGATTTTCATTATTGTATTTAAATGTTTCGCAGAAAATCCTTATAACTTTACTATTATAATTCAAATATTAGTTCGAGTTCGGTCTAAACAAACTTTAATCTGACATCATCGAGCGGTTTAATAGAAACGGTATTTCAGTTTTTTGTCGTTAAATAAAATTTGTGACCTCTTACCCTTGACACCTGACGTGGGCGATGAAAAAAACAAAAATCACAATTTTCCACATCACAATTTAATTAAAATATCACAATCACAAAGTCATCTTCATTTTCAAWCTACACTTTTTCAGTAGTGATTTTTGTGTTTGTTGTTTTCTTCTAGTTTGGTATTTTTCTAATGTAAAAATCGCAGTTGTGTCTCGGTGCTAATGGTATTGCGAACTGCACTTGGCAGTGTTGATTCATGGTGTGGCCCCCAGCCCACCTTGTTCTCTTGCTGACCAATCTCTCCGTTTCCTGCGATCACCTCGTGGATTAACTGAATGTTCTTGGCATTGCTTTGTTTACATTGCGACGTCGTGTTTGCGATTGCAGGAATTGGTATAAACGAGTGATATTCCTAGTATGACAGAGTTTCATTCCTGACGTTGCGCTGAAGTCTCCGATAATTGACTCATTATAAAACGCGTTCAAATTAAATCATTCCTATGTTTACTTTCAGAATTAATAGAAGTGGGTTAAACTGCAAGAGGAAAGTTTTGTTTCTTTATTGTCGGTGGTCTTTCAAATAAGATGGCTTATTGTTTGTTTTTCTGAAAGAAAGTGTTATAAATGATTTGTGGTTTTATTATTAGCATAGAGAGATTTTCACAAGCTTTAAAAATGTCARCGCGATGATAGTAAAAGTCGCAAACAACATGCAAATAAAAATCAGGGTTTTCGCATTTCTGTTGCCATAAATGGTCGGTATTTCTTGTCGGAGCAGTAACGTTGACGTCGGGTGTATAATTAGAATAAATTTATTTGTCATAGGGTTATTACTCATATTTCCTTATTTATTCTCCAAAAGTACTTGTATTTATTTATTCCAACCAATTAAAGTTTAATTCACTTAAAAAATTTACTTTTCGAAAAAGAAATAAAAAAAATGTATATCCAAATATTGTAACGATTTATATTACAATGTGAGATGACTTAGTTCCCAACGTGGTCAAAGACCGAGTTTGGTAAATCATCAAAATATTCGAAAGTTACTGTTGTTTGCAGTCAAGTCTAGTCAGTTTAGGCACAGATTATCTGTTTTAAAAACGGTTAATCTGTGGTTTAAGTCAGATGGTTTCAGCCACAGAACAGGTTTCAGCACTGATTATTGTTTCAGTCTAAAATAAATCGTGTGTGGGGACCCTTACATCGTCACTTCAACCACTTCCGTGCTAAATTTTAGATATTTTTTTTAAGAACCGTGATTTTTTTTATCAAACTTGTGTTGATAACGAACTCCTATAAATGAATGAAATAACTTTAATATTAGTGGCATAAAAGCAATAAAAAAAGGGACAATAGTGGAACGGGAGACACAACAACAGAATAACAGATTTTGTAGATATTTTGGGCTTTAGGAGTGACGATATTATAATTCTATTAATTAATTATTAAAAATATATTTCTAAATACATTTGTGTTTGTGAAAATTGTGAGGATAGAGAAATTGTTGTGTAGTTTGTAATATTTATATAGACATTGATTGACATAACCTCAATTCCGAAGCGTCATGTTCAACCAAAACAATGYAGAGAAAAAACTGGATTGGATGTACAAAGTAAGTTAAAATATTTCTTTGGGTATTTTTTAGGTGACAATTGTTTTATTAGGGCCCCAATAGTATGGTGGAGCGCGAGGAGTACTTATTGGGGCGCAAAGTTGACAAGACATTGGAGCAGTTGAATGAAGAAGAAAAACTGAAGCAGCAAAATATAATCATACCGCCGAAAAATCGCGTGGAACATGAATGTATTCCACCATCAATTAGAGACTTTAATAAAGTTGTACAAGCAGAACAGGTTTGTTTGCTACTTCATTTTGTGTTCTTTTTGTTTATTAGTTTTTTAGGTAGATTTGTCTACAAAACTGCAAGAAGATCCTTTAGTAGCGATAAAAAAACGCGAAGAAGAGACGAGACGCCAATTTTTACAAAATCCCGTTCAACTGAAAAAATTACAAAAAGCTCTGAAGGCTCAACAGGCCCAAAAGAAGAAGAAAAAGAAGAAGTCAAAACAATCTAGCGACTCAAATAGTGATTTAGATATTAAATTGACGGAAAAATTGTTAGGGAAAAAGAAAAAAATTAGCAAAGAAGAACGCAACTTGGATACAATTTTGATTCACAAGTTTGAAGCATTGAAGGATAAATTGACTGAAAGCGACTTACAAGATATTTTGAACGGAATAATAACAAGTAGCGAAGATAGTAGTGAAGATGAAGAAAAGTCAAGAAAGAAATATTCCAAGAAACGACAAGATAGTGAAAAAAGCGAAGATGGAAGAAAGCATAAAAAGAAGGATAAAAGAAGGGAAACTTTTAGAAGAGAAAGAGACTCTTCTGATGATGATTCGCAAAGGAGAAAAAAGCCTGACCGAAGCCATCAAAAAAGTAAAACTATAAAAGAGTACAAAAAAGATTCCCATTCACATCGAAGCAGAAATAGAAGTCCCAATAACAAAAAATCTAATGATAAAAGGAGAAGCAGTAGCAGTAATTCTGAAAGGGAAGAAGAAATAAGAAACAGTCATTCAAAGAAATATGACAGTGATTCAGATTCTTCAAGGCACAAAAAGCGTAATTACGGTCTTGTAAGTTCAGATGGGAAAAAAATTCCACTATCAAGAAAACACAATGATGTAAAAGAGATAACTAAGCCAAAAGTACCTGAACCACCTCCACCAGTCCAGAGACACAGAGCCAAGAAACTAACAGAAGAAGAAAAAGAAAAGTTAAGACAAGAAATGATGCAAAATGCTGTTTTAAGAGACAAAGAACGGGAACGCAACGTGAGAAAATACCGCGAAAAAGAAGAAAAAGAAAAGAAGGAACAAAATTTTGACCCTGAGTTTATCCACAAACAACTAATAAAATCTGCCGATAGTGGTAGCGTTGAAAGTAGAATTAAGTCGAACTTAAACAACATCCAGAGGTCAAGTAAATCTATGGACCATAATTTTTCCAGGAGGTAGTGAAATTTTGTAAGAATAAAACTTTTTATTGGAAGTGAAATATATTTATAGGAATTTAACATTCGCATTTTATGTTATCATCGAATTTTACACTTTTCCTTTTGCGTTCTTTTGCGAGGCAGTCGTCTTCAGGTGGCAGCGTTTCTGGTTGAGAATTTTCACAAATGTGTTTGTGTTCACGTAACACTTTATCGTAGTATTTCTTAATTTTTTCTTCCTCCGTATCGTACTCAGTAGATGCTAAATTTAATTATGTATTTTGTTTTAATTAGTTTCTGTACTTACCAATTCGTTGCGCTTCACTTTTACAGTCAAGACTTGGGATCGGTGGTGTTGTTATAGGGTAGGGGCATTCGTTATTCACAGGTTGTATCCCGAATGGTGGAACATTGTGTTCTGGAACCACTAGCTCTTCTTTTACGTATTCCTTCTGGAATGTCGGGTCTTCTCTTTCTTCTTTTATATTGAAACGTTCCAAACATTTATCCATTTCTGTCTGAGTATAAATCAGGTTTTTGCCTAAAAACAAATTGAATCAAAATAAAAAAAAATAACTTAAAATATCATCACCTATTGCATCTCGCTCAGCTTTCTCAATGTCAATTTTGTTCTCCTCAACTTGCTTATTAATATCATCTTTGAGGTATCCCTTATTGAACATATAATTCCGAATATTTTCAATAACTTCACACGGAAATTTACTCGAATTGGCTTGCATGTAGCGATATACATACAAGTCAGCTCCCGTTATAATAAATCTCTGTTGAAAGACAGTTATAGTGGCCCCAATGTAGAAATCAATGGGCGAATAATATTCCGGATCAAGTGGATTAGTATTAGGTTTTGGCAGTAAAGTACTTTTCAAATACTTTCCTCCAATAATCCCCGAATTTTCAATCGGGGGCTCAAAAATTTTACAAGTGTTGTCACCCAAAGAATAAAACAGCAGAAACCTGCGTATCGAATCTTCAGGATGGATATCTTCCATTTTCATCTCGTATCGTAGATACTTATTTGCATTTAGAATTTGTTTAACCACGTCTTTTCGTGGTGGTTTTGGCAGAAAAGTTAAAGTGTTTTGGAGGGAGTCTTCCAGACTGCCGATGCCGTCATGAGGAGGGATTTTCTTCTCGGGTGGTGGTTTAGGCTTCTCGGAAATATCGATAGGGGGGCCTTGCTCGATGCAAAGAGCTTTTTTGAAATAATTTCTAGTGAAGTCGTCACAGTCGTAAAGAAGCATTTTTCGCCCTAGAACAAAAATTGTTTCGCCGACTCGTAAGTCTTTGGGTTGGTAGAATTCTGTGACTTCTTCATCGGTAGTCTCGAGGTAGATTGAGGGGAAGTGGGCCGGCCTGTCGGTCCAAATCTAAAAAATGGTAATGAATTAAAAGTCATTTGATTATTTTTAATACTTTTGGTAATTTAGTTTTGCGTAAAAGTTGCGAGTACGGATCTCGTCCATCATTTTTACTGTGAATTTCTTTCACAGCGACTGTGTCATCTGCAAGAAAATATAAAACTTCGTATTTTCTTATTTCACCATATTCGGAGTCTCTGTCATCCCAAATCGCTTTAAATCTGAAAAAGGCCAATTAACACCTGAATTATGGTAATAGTAATAACAAACTTGAGAATTTTGCCATCGTATTCTAAAAATCTTCTAAACTTATCATCAGCCGAAGGTGTTTTAGTAAAYTTATTTTGATGAGATTTCATTAATCTGTTTTGAGTGTAGGGATCAGGTGGTAATTGCTCAGGATCAGCCATCATTAATCCCTGACTGGCCATATATTCCCTTGTAAATGTATCACAATCCACCAAATGGTACACAACCCCGTAGAAAACAATATTTTTGCCCACACCCAAATCTTTCCAATGCCAGAATTCCCCGTCCTCGCTTTTGGGAATTCGATGTCGTTTTAGGAGCCTTCCTTGGTCAATTCCACTATTCTATAGAAACAAATTTGCATGTTTTACATTTTTTTAAACTATTTTATTACTGGAGTCCGGGGTTCCATAATTGTGATCGTGTCGTCTTCCAGAAAATAAATTATATTGACATGTCTTACTCTGTAATACTCATCAGGTGACTCAGCGACCCCCTGTTTAAAAAAAGCTTTAAAAGTGAGACATTTTTGGTCATAAAGGGCGTAATGCGGTTTGAACATTTGTACAGGAATTGCTTTGGTTCTTCCATAAGTAAGTGAGGGATCGAACCGCACTGGATCGTTGGTACTAATAAATTTGACCGAATTTGAGTCCAATTCGCGATTTCCTATGCCCACGTAATCATTCTTTGGGATTTTGTACCCATTTGAAATGGAAAACGTCTGGGACAGGTGGTAACTTGTTAGCTGAAAAGTTTAAGTTTTTAGGGAGATTGTGATAAATGAGATACTCACAGTAGGATCAGTGAAAGTCAGTCCTGGTAATTTAGGCAATCCTGCCATTTTCACACCTTGTAAAAAACAAATCGATCAAACTTCAAAATTGCCATAGAAATTTGAATTTYGCGCACATATTTCAAATAGGAACTTTAAAAATCATTTCAAATTTGAACTTTGACAGTTGACAGTTTCGCGTTGAATTCGRCGCGTATTTGTAATAATGTCTCGCAATTTGGGTGTAATACGTGCAAAATCGTTACAAAACATCGTGTAAACAACTTAAATTTTTGTTATAAACGTATGTAAACGTTTATTGGTGAAGTTAAATGTGATTTCGGAAATATATATTTTTGTACACAGCTAACCTCACTTTTTCAATAAAAAATGTCAATTTCTATTAAAAAAATTGTAAATTTACCGGAGGCGGCACTTAAATTTTTAGTGCAGGATGAAATTGAGGATGAACAATCACACGGTATAATATTTTTCCATTTTTTGTACTTAAATTTCACCCAAATCATATTTTTAGAATATAAGACCATTGGAGGGGTCTTTCCTGGCATTGATTACGTCTGGTTATCAACTGGCCCTCACTTAGAAGTTGTAAACACAAAAATGGGTTGTAAAATAGGAGCGTGGTCTTTTGGCTGGGTCCTAAAAGATTCAAACACAGAAGTTGTTTGTGTGGATATTATTCAAAGACCAGACGGAAGACTCCCTTTTCTGGCAGTGGGAATCGACTGCGATCTGAGCGGGGGCATGGTCTGCATTTTTGATTTTGCCACGTCAAAAGTTATTAGGGCTATACACATTACAGATAAGGTCAGTTTCACTTCTACAATTTGAGGGCTCAGAAGCACAATTTTTCTCAATATGATTTATGTGATTCAGATGACGCTGTATTGTTAAATCTTTTATTTGGCAATGCACGTAAGGCACTACTTTGAAGTAAAAAAAAAAAAAAAGTATCAAAAAAATGTTTTTCAACTTTGCAAGCTTTTTTATACATTTTTTTAAATGCTCACCATTTTTAAACTTCCTTTTAATGTCACGCGACTTGTCGCGCTAGGTGTGGCGGACCTAACGTTAATTGTTGCATTATTTGTTAACATTTTTCTAAAATAATAGCATAATTGAACTAATAATATGTTTCTTGCTTTTATATATGCTTTACTCGTAACAACTAGATTTCTTTGATTATAAAGCATTGTATTTTACTATAAAAAAATGTCTTCGTAAATAGGATTTATTTTTGAATAAAATTTTTGCACTGCTATTTGCACTGCTCATTTTTTCAAATGAGATCAATAGCAAACACAAACTAGTTATTTACTTTTACCAAACTGAACAAGACTATCGTATTATCAATATTCTTTATAAATAATTGGACCAACGAAGTCTTCCTCTAGTATTTACATCACAATAACCAGAACTTTATAAGAGTAATGAGAATGAGGCGTAAGCAAATAGATCGCTTTAACATGATTAGACTTAAACTGATTGACTTCTGAACCCTTCAATTATTAAAAATTAATTTCTAGATTACTTGTCTTCACGTAATTGATCCCGGTCACGACGTATTTACTTTACCGAGTCCTCTGAGAAATTTTGATGGTATTATTGCTGTAGGAACAGCAGGAGGCGATGTATTTCTAGTTGATATTTGTAGACAAATTTGTGATGAAGGTAATGAGCCAATTTTCTAAATAATTTATTTGATTAAAAATTTGTAGCGTTGACTATAAGTGGAGTGATTAAAATTAGAGATGAATTAAATCCTTGTCAATTAAGCCACATTACTTCAAAAGATATACCCAAAATAGAATTTCATAAAGAATTTGCAGTCAGGAACAGCCAACATCTCGCAATACATTTAAACTGTATGTCTAATCTAACACAATATAACATATTAAATTTTGTAATTCTTAGTTGTTTTTGATAAATTAACAAAACATTTCACTCTGAAAGGCCCTAAGGGTGATGATAGGATTCACGTTAATAAAGATGAGGTTACTGTTAGTGCTCTTTATTATTGTCCCCAGCTTGGTTCTCTATTGGTGGGTTATAATTTTGGAGCCTTTCAGTTATACAATTTGATGAATTTGGAATTAATTTACACTTCACCAGTTTGTGATGAACACCTACCTATATCACATTTTGCAATCCAGGTTTGTTTTCATAAAGTAAATGAAAAAGATGTTCTAAATTTGTTTAAGGAACCTGCTGACGATCCTAGACCGGTTTGTTACATTTGGGCTGTTTACAGCACTGATGAGCAATACCCATCGTGCTTACCTCTGGCTGCAATGTATGCATTTTCCTACCATACTAAAGAATACCATGAAGGTTATGGTTTCTTGTATCAAGTAAGTTTTCTTCTGTTAAAAATTGTCCTAGTTAGTATTTTAAAATTTTTAGGATTTTAATACAGCAGGCGTTCATTATCAAATGGAATTGGGTATTCCCGAAAGTCATAAACGATTGTGTAAACAACGTGGTGGCAGATGTTTAAAAGTAAATTCTATAAATCGGGGTCCTGTAAATAGGGAAGGGCCCCAACATGACTCAAATGAAGACACTCTCACTTTGTGTGTGTTTGTGTGGGATGTCTGCTTCAGTAACAATGAGAGAGACACGTTTTTGGCTATTTTTGATTTGAATCAGTGGTACAAAGAGCAAATGCCGAGTTAGTATTTTGTATTCTTATAAAAATAGAAAAAATATTTACTATTATAGGCATCCAAAATCCGCAATATTCTTCGACTTACATGTTGCAAATGTATCTAAATGAGTTAATTAACAACGCTACTAATAAAAAGGAACCAATTTTTGATGTACAAATTGATACGAAATCATTACAGCAATTCACAAGGCCTCAAAGACTGGAAGAACATTTCTACCCGAATTCGCTCTCATTTAGTAATTATTTTTGTCGGTTTGAGTCAGTTTTGATAGTAAAATTTCAGGAATGACTTGTTTGCGTGGATCTGACGTAATTTTTCTCTACAATTACGGTGTCCAGAAAGCTTTGTTAGCTCAAATTGAATCGTCTGGTCCATCTTGTGTCATAGAACCGGCTGAAATTTATCAGGAGATCATCGGTTTAGGACTCGTTCCCTTATTTAGTGATTTACCGGTTAATACACCTGTTTCAACTGTAAGTTACTAACTGTTAGGAGGCTTTCTTAATGGATTATTGTAGAACCAGCAACGCGAAATTATTTTGAGTACGGCTTTGGAAAATCGGTTAGTGGGATGGTTGTGTAAATGTGCTTCAGAGTGGGCCAATGGAAGTTTTCTCTCAACCGGGTGTTCACTGGATTTATTGATTAATTGGGCATTTCAGAGAGCGATTTCTCTTAAAACCAATTGCGACAAATTTTGTGAGAAGTTTTATTTGATTAAAAAAACTAATATTCTACAGGAAATTATTTATAGGTGTGCCTCTTTTCGATTTTTCTGAAACTCGTATTGACAATAATACAACCGTCTTACTCAACAGTTGCCTAAGACAATTGAAAAATCTGTGCTCAGTTTATGCTTTCATTATCAACAAATTGTCGGCATTTATTCCACATTTGGGTAAAAAACTGGAACAATGTTTGTGTTAAAATTGCATAATTTTAATTTTTTATTGCAGAACTAGTAGGAGAACAGTGTAAATCACTTGAGACAGTTTCTGTTTACTTTGAGGTACTTCAGTGGTTCTTAAATGTTGGCTTACTACCTGAATGTCCTTTAACTGCTTATCCACGTTCGGATGATTTTGAACGCATTAGTGCTCCTTATCCGGCCGAAATGTTAATCGAGTTTTACAATCACAGGTTTGCCTTTTATTCTTTGATTTTTTTTGTTATTAATTATTTATTTCAGGAGAGGATTATTAAAAATTTTAAATGAAGAAAATTTCTCCTCATCGGACAGTGTTCTCTTCATTGACAGTTTAATAGAACGCGAATGTGGCGGAAAATCATTACAAGAGTACGTTTTTTGTGTTTAAAATTGTCTCATTATTTCAATTTTTTTAGGCAATGGCGTAGCGATGGAGGCAATGGGTTGTATCCACCTCCATCATTGCAAGCACTTTTAAGAACCTACTTAGTCGATAATGTAGATCTGTCTTGCAAACATTCTGTCATAATTTACGTTTTTCTTGATTTAGCCATGACTTTAGATCAAGACAGGTACAAATCTGTTATCACTTACTTAATTAAATTTCCTGCTGTTTTTAAAGTGACCCCAAGTGTGATTAAGATTATTCAAGCTTTTTGGCAATTAGATCACAGCGATTATAATGTAATAATTATATTTGTGATGGAAAAAAAAATMAATTGTGTCTTTTAGACTGCGATGGGCCTCTTATTAGATCCACTTGTGTCATCACAAGACTTACACGACTGGCACCATAAAATTGCTTTGAGGGCTTTATTACTTCAAAAACAGCACAATTTTGCTCTTTTGTATATGCAAGTCAGAAAACCAGTTATGAAAGACGACGAGGATATTTTAACAGCGATTAGTTTATACGTTGCTAATAATATGTTAGATGAAGCTTTTTACTTTGAAAAACATTTCACAAATCAGTTGGGGGGCAAAAAAATTTTGGCACATCTTTTGAATGGTAAATTTGATACTTTTGTAAATATCTAAAAATTTAAATTGTTTTCTTTAAAGAATGTAAAAAGAACGARAAACTACGAGCATTAATTTACCGTTCCTTCAATTCGTCTGATGAAGATTTTTTCCTCAAATATCTCACAAATATCAAACAATCAACAGCAGAGGATCTTCATGTCTACTACCATATTTTGCGTTCACATTTTATTGAAGCTTTTGAAAGRCACAATCGCACTGTTCCCAATCAGATCGAAACTCAAGGATTATTRGGTCAAGAAAACGCAATTCCGAGAGATAAATTGATTTACAGTTTGAAAAAACTGCTGCCTGATGTTAACCGCAATTTGCTTGATTTTTGTCACAGAGAGAAAAATAACACTTGGCAACAGGTGTCAAGACCAACACCCATGTCGGTTTTTGTTCTCAATTTAAACGAAAATGTTAAATATAAATCAACTTTAATTGGTGCAGCTTTGGCCAAAGCTAGACAAACCTTTAATGAATCCGTTAGTAATAATGTTAGATTGGAAACCGAGGAAACTCCTTTTTTGCGAACACCTACAATTGAAGTGTCATCCAAAAGGTGTGATTGAGTTTTTGAAAATTGAAGTTTTTTCAAACGAAATTTTAGGTCTTCAACTGTTATTGTTAACCCSAAAGTTATTGAAAGTATTCAAGAGTCAAATGATATTGGGACGCCACCTTCGTCCAAACGCTTAAAACTGTCCCCAAGACCTAGTACTTTATTTTCTACTTCAATTCCGACGAAACTTGAAACTCCTTTAGTTAAACGCAAAACACCGAGAGTTCGTGATGGGACGGATGAGAGGTTTAAAATTGATACTCCTCACAGTATTTTGAAGGTTTTTTTTCATATTAGTCTATTAAAAAGAGTTTTATTTTGCGATTGTAGGTTAAAAGTTTCACAAATCAAACTCCATCTAAAGATGGTAAACAGTTTGAAGACGATTTTAAGGAGTTTGAAAAATTGGAGTACACTCCTGTGAGTTCAGTTCCAAAGGTTTGTATTTTGTCGAAGATTATTGCTGGTCAGTGTTTTATTATAATTTTTTAGAACAAAGGGTTAGGACTTTCTCCCCGAAAATCAATCAGTAAACACACACCTGTAGTCAGGTTTGAGGGTTTGCTGAGTTCTACAGATTCTAACAGTTTGAATAATAGTCGTTTGTCAGAAAAAGAATCCCCGAAAAGGTGGTCTAATTCTCCGACTGTTAATGCGTCTCTAGATACTAAAAATTCCTCTTCGAAGAATACATCAACGGAAGAAGACGTATTCTATTCACCAGAAGCATCACTTGAAGAAAAACAAGAAAGTATTAAAAATGACTCTACTAGACTCGAAAATAAGGAAGAGACAGTTGAAATACCGAAACTTGATCTTGAAGAACAGGAAGAGATACAGGAAGAGAAACAAGCGACTCCTGTTTACTCACCTAGAAGCCGGACAAGTTTCAAACGTAGGTTTTATTTGTTTTGAAATTTAGTTTGAATAATTTTTTTAGGGTCTTTAACACCAGTTAGATCAAGTCCTAGATTACAACACAGTGCTGTTAAAGAAACACAAGAGAAAGAAAAAATCAAGGAACCACCCATTATTAATTCAAAGGAAGAAGATATAGAAAAAGTTGAAGAATCAACTTCTTCACTTGACCAAGATACCTCATCACCATTGCCCAAATTACGTCCTCGCAGATCACTCTGTAGAAAGGTCCTCGAAACTAATGCTCTGAATAGAGTTTTAAATTCGCCATTGGATTCACCTAGAAACCGAAGATCGGAAGTGACTACTGTAATTGAAGAAACTACCGAAAAAGTTGTTATTGAATCAACAATAAAATATGGAGATGGTGAAGAAACGCACGAGACCAGTCTCACTAAGAAGCATAACTTCACAGAAAGTTTTATTGAGTCAGATTTGGACACTTCAGGGGATTATAGTATTAATTACAACGATACTAAAGAGACTTATTTATCAGATTCAATGCTGCGTTATATAAACAACGCGAATAGATCTCTTTTAAAAAATCATAGTGTTGTTGAAGATGATGAAAAAACAAATGACAATGTAAGCAAAAATATTGAAGAAGAAAAAGAAGTTGAGGAAACAGTTGAAAACCAAGAAGAACCACAAGAGAGTGCCAAGGAAATTAAAGAAGCGGATGAAAAGCAAGAAAAATTGAATAAAACCGAAGAAATTCTAGAAAACCGGGAGTGTGAAATTCTCAAGTCACGCCCATCTGACTTGAATGACAGTGTGAATAGAAATAAAAACATAGCATATTCAGTTCTAGATAGTAGCACTGAAGAATTTTCAGTCTCATATGAAGCGAGTGGTCCGAAATTGTCCGAATCGATTTTACGTTGCATCAYCAACAGTGAAGAAAATGAAGAGTCGGAAGTTATGGAAGTTGATGATGTTGAAATAATCGAAGATAACTCAAATAAACACACTGAAGTTGAAAAAAGCGACGAACCCGTTTATGCTACCTTGAAAAATACCACTTTTGAAGAACGTCGGAAAGAAGATACTGGTAGAGAATTGATTTACGAACAAAGCAAAGAAGAAAAAGTTCAGTCGTTTGATGGGGACGTCTCAACTGACAGGGCTGTAGATCCGGGAATGAACGTTTTCGAGATTTCTGAGGATCTCAGTTTCAATGATGGTTTTCTGGTCGAGAAAGAAGTGACACTTGAAGAAAAAGATCTGTGTTATGGACAGCAGAATACGTTAGAGAATGTTTTGGAGGAGAACATGACGACTGAAACTTCTGTAACTTCGACTTCTTTGAATGGTAAGTTATTAACTAGGTTGGGTTGTATTTTTTTAATTTTTGATACAAGCATTAGAAAAAAATATTTTGAATGAGAGTTTGGAAGAAGAAGAACACAAAGGTGAAGAAAACCAGGCAAAGCCTCGTTCACCCGAAAAGAACAAATCTGACGAGGTTATCGAAATTGGAAGTTCTAGTGAGGAAGAAAAAAGTAAAGATGATTTCAGTGCTTCGTCTAGTCCGTCGAGTGATTATAATGAAAGCTGTGAAGAAAAATTAGAAGTCTCGTATGAGAGAAATATTTATGATACAGAATGTGGTTCTTCTGATAGCTACGAACAACGTTATAGTGAAATAAGCGAAAACAGTGATTATGAAAATTCAAAGGAAGGGTTTGGTCTGTTTAAGAGTGTCTACATTGAAGATGGGGAAGAAGAAATAGAAGAAACCAAGGATAGTGAGAGTGAGAAGGATGAGAAGGATAAAGACCATGTTGAGGAACACAGAGAAACTGAAATGGGAAAAGAATTGCACGACCAGATTTATCTAAACGTAGAACGGGAAGAAGAAATTCAAACTGAGGAAGAAGAGAGTCAAAAAGAAAAAGTAGAAAGCAAAGAAGAGAAACATGATAGATCTGGAGATAAAGAAGAAGAAGTTGAGCAGGCAGGAACATGTTCAAGTGAAAAGCAATATAATTTGATTGAAGATCAAAGCACAGAAAAAGAAGAGAAACATGTCAAATCTGGGGATGAAGAGGACTTGTTTGAAAACCAGAGTATGGAAAAAGAAATTCCAAATGAAGATAAAAATGCGAATACGTCTGATGAAATGGAAGAGTTGCAATATTCGATCGATACAGAGAGCGAAGATCAGCAAGAGAAAATAATTGAAASTCTMCAAGAACCCGCAAAACAAGAATTTGAAAAAAATGAGACGTCACAGTACGATGTTACGAAAAAACAAGACAAKGAAGATAAGGAAACTTTAAAAAAAGTCTTAAACGAATCTATACCACATGATCCATTGGATTTTGAAATCTTGTCCAGAGAACCAGACATTTGCGTCCTTGATAAAATACACTTCGAACCAGTTTCAACGGAAAAAGATAAACGTAAGAATTAATTTTTAATACTCAAAAGGTAATTTTAATTTTCAGAATCGAAGTCTTTTTCTCAAGAAAGTTTCAATTCCAAAAAGAGTCGCCCWCGAAAAAACAAGTTAGAAATAACTGCTCAACTGTCTGAAACTCTTGACGTTTCAACACAATCCGTTAGAAAGCTACGTTCTAGAACAGTGAGCACTGAGGAAGCTCCAAGCTCTGTTGTAACATTAAGAAAACGTAGCGCAAGTGTCGACGAAGCGAAATCTTCTCAAAAAACAKCAGYYACCGAAASTGAAGTCAGAAAAGGGAGGAATCGGCGAGCGGCGTCTGTGGCTCCTTTACCTAAAATTGAAGAAGAAGACAGCGAGAAGGGTAAAAAGTCACAGAGCGTGCTCGAAGGGTACTCGATGACAAGACGAGTTACTCGCCGGCAGATGGCTTTGTTGAAGAACATGCCTGAAACTGAGACCACAAAAACTGATTTGGAGAGCATCGACCCGATTGTCTTACTAGATAGAGTTTCTTTCGAGGGTAAACCTGATCCTGAGGAACAAAAAGTTTACGAAACATCGCCGTCTACTACAACCAGTGCGACCAGTTCTCCAGTCAAAAAACCTTCAAGGAGGTTAAGATCGGCATCGCAAGCTTCGGAAACCTCACAAAGATCAAGGAGTAAGACTCCGGTGAAGTCTGATGGTAGCATATCTGAGCAAAGGATGACCAGAAGTAGGACTAAATCAGGGTCTTCAATCCATTCTGAAGATTCAAGTAAGTTTTGTAAAGTGTTATCAAGGTGATTGTACCTTTTTTCTGATGTTTGTTATTAACAAATTATTTTAAAATTGTATATCAGATTATAATGTATAAATTCCATTTAGTTTTAGACACATCACGGCCGATTAAGGTTGGTAAACGAAAAGTAGCCTCGAAAACAAGTTTACCAAAAATAAAAGAAGAGTCAGTTCAACCAGAAAACGTTGTAATTCCCAAAAAACGAACAAGGAAAAATAGTTCACATGTGTAATTCTAACTTTTGTATACTTATTATTTTTAGTCCGAGAATATGTAATAAATGTTAATTTTTTTTAATTGTTTTTTTTACACTTCGGTTGTCGATTTCGCTTTTTTAATACTCCTATGATTTAATAAAAGAATAACTAAGTTTGCTGAAGGAACAAATCAGTGACAGTACGATACATGTAACAAAGTTAAGAATTTTTGTTTTTCTAATAAATTTTGTACCTAGATTTCTGACGTTTCTTAAATGTTGCGACCGCAAATTCGTTTGTTTACGCAACAACGTGATAGCCTCATCCATCCACTCGTACGGTTTTGTTTAATAAATGAAAATAAAAATATGTAATAGGATTTCGAATTCCTATTTATAATAGAAATATTGTAGATAAGTAATAATAATAATTGTAATTTCACATGCATAAAGGATAAATCAATCATTTTCAGTTGTAATTTTCATAATTTGGTCGTAATTATGAAGTGTTTATGAACCCAACTAAAGCTCATCTATCAATTTAATTGCATGTTTATGAAATTTATCTCATTTAGATATATCGGATAAAACATTCCAACTTAATCATACATCTCAAAACAGTATTTTTCAAATCTAGTGCTATGACCACAACAACGCATTCTTGTTTGAGGTTTATTCTAATTGGGGCCCAAGTTTTCGGCATGTTTCCTGTATCAGGGGTGACTAATCGAGACGCCACTTCCCTGAAATTCAAATGGACTTCAAAACGGACGATTTATTCCATAATATTTGCGCTAGCAGCAGCGCTTAATTCTCTCATTTTTTTTGTTCATAGGGTGAGTTCAGGACGACTTGAATTTTCAGAATGGGGTAACGCCTGAAATAAATATTTTACTCTTATTTTACGTGCCAATTTTCAGTTAAACTTTTATTGTTCTTAGTGACTGTTTGCACCGTTGTCTTATTATTAGATATAGCAAAAAAGTGGCCTTCACTAATGAAAAAATGGACACAAGTTGATGAAGCAATGTCTTGGTATGGCTTTCCTCCGAAGTTACAAAGAAAATTAAGAATAATTTTTGCAATTACTGTGTTTGCCTCTTTAGGTAAAAATAATTCCAGTTTGTATTTTGAATTATTTCCTCCCAACAGGGAATAAAAGGAATAAATTCCCTCGTTTTTAACTAATAATCTGGTAGGTACTTTATTCCCTCGGGAATACTCGTAACATTAATGAAGTACCGATTTTTATGTGTCAAAAAACATTCAAAGGTTCAATTCATCCAAATCCATTTTGTTTAAGTGTAAAGACTGGTGTTTCATTTATTTTATTCACCAATAAGGAATAGATTATTACTCAAAAACGAGGGAATTAATCTTCACTTCATTCCCTGTTGAGAGAAAACAAAATTATTACCCATATTTTTGTAGTGGAACATGGATTATTTATCGGTGTTGAATATATATCTTGCAGGGGAAACAGTAGCAATTTAACAGAAGCTCTTGATCGTTATTTTAAATTTCATTACGACTACGTATTTGCTTTCGTTCCTTATTACACGGTTCTGGGGATCATTTTAGAGGTTAATTTCACATTTTTTGGATTCATAACAAACTTTAACTAATTTTTATAAGATTCTAAACATTTTTAGTACAATATCTTGGACGTTTATGGATCTTTTTATAATCTTGATTAGTCTGAGCCTTTCTGCAAGGTTTAAACAAGTGGCTAAACACATAAATTACCTCGTGGAACGAAACGTATGGAAGAATAAGATCAATGATTARAGATTTTATTCAATTTTTCAAGGTAATGAATGAAAATTCGTGGCAAAAAACTCGAAAAGATTACAATGGACTTACAAAGTTATGTAAGGATTTGGATGAAATTATATCAAGTATAATTCTGCTATCATTTGGAAACAACATTTTTATTATCCTAGTGCATCTATTCAATTCATTGTGGTAAAAAATAGAGAATAAAAATAAAATATTAAATGTAGGTACTTATACTTATTTCAGGCAACCTCCACGATTTGGTTATTTAGATGAAATTTATTATTTGTATTCTTTTATTTGTCTTTTGGTTCGTATCAGTGCTGTGGCTTTGCATGCCTCTACTATAAACACCGAGAGTAAGAGACCGATTCATGTTTTGAATATGATACCCTATAATCTTTATAATGTGGAGGTATTTTTTTATTAATTTTTTTTAAGTAAGCATTTATTATTTTTAGATTGACAGACTTTTGCTATGCACTAAATATGAAACTGCGGCCCTAACAGGCTATAATTTATTCAGGATAACCAGGACGTTGATTTTAAAAGTAAGTTGTTTTTTATATGTAAGAATACAAGTGGCAAAGAGTTTGCATTTGTATTTTTTTTTCAGATAACGATGGCAATTATAACTTACGAATTACTTTTGGTGGAATATTTAAAAGTGAAAATTAATTAAGAATCATGTGATGTTGCTTTTACAAACTATATTATCAATCTTTTTAAAAATTTATGACAAAAAAGTCGTTTTGTTTACAAAAGTAAAACTTTCCAATCAACAATTTTTTTATTATTTATTAATGGTTTTCTTTTTTGTCGATACTGCACAAATATTTAATTAACGTTTTGTGTATTTCATTCGACAAAGGTCAATTGTATCAAATGTTTATCATTTATTTTTCATGGTTTGGTATAGTGATTTTGTCGTGCAAGTAAATATTTTTTGTGTATTTATTTTTTAATTTAATACATCTTTTATGTCTGAGGACTGTTTTTTATTTTTGAAAAGTACGGTAGCTTTCACTTAATTCAATATTTTCTGATTACATCCCACTGACCAAACACAATTTTCTCTCGTTTGATTAATCCGCATTAAAATTCAATCTTACCTATAAATAACCGTAGTACATCATGGAAATTTTCTAGATTGTAATTTCGGAGTAATATGAAGGAAAACACTACCCACAAGTGCCTTTGCTTCGTGCTAGTTTTCGCCCAATGTTTCGGCATGTTGCCTATAATCGGAATAACTGGAGAAAATTACAAAAATTTAAAATTCAATTGGTCGTCTAAAAGAACATTTTATTCGATCACTTATGCTTTAGTAGCGACAGCAAATATGATATTTTTTCTTATYAAAATGCTTCGTAAAAGGAGTATCGAGTTCCAAGATTGGGGTATTAAATTTTTTGATAATAATTTGCAATAAAGTGGAATTTTTAGTTGGATTTTTATTCTTTTTTGTTACTGTGGTGACAGTAATAATTTTCCTAGATGTAGCTAGAAAGTGGCCGAAACTCATGTACAAATGGACGGAAGTGGATATTGCCATGAATTATTGTTATGGTTTTCCTGGTAGTTTATCAAGGAGATTAAAAATAACAGCCTCAGTACTTATCGTCGCTGCTTTTGGTAAAAATAAATTTAGAAAACTTAATTATCAACAAATATTTTAGTAGAACATGGTTTATTTGTTACTGTTGCATCTGCACCATGTGAAGGAGAAAATTTGTCTAAATTATTTACAAATTATTTCTACTTGCGATTTGGTTACGTATTCGATGTGGTTCCATACCATTTTCTGTGGGGTACACTTTTCCAGGTTTGCACTCAATTTCGTAAAAAGTACTGTTTACCTATTTCTGAAAAGGTTCTAAATATTTTTAGCACCGTATCTTGGAATTTTATGGATTTGTTTATAATTTTAATRAGTTTGTGCTTATCTGAAAGATTCAAACAAGTGGCGACAAGGACGAGTCAAATAGCTGCAAAAAAAGTAAAAACTCAAAATTATCATAATTTTATAAGTAAAATATATTTCAAGGTGATCGATGAAAGAGTTTGGCAACAATTGAGACAAGATTATACTCGCCTTACAGTTTTATCTCAAACTGTCGACAAGACACTGGCTAACATCGTAGTCCTATCATTCGCAAATAATTTATTTGTCATTCTTGTCCAGTTATTTAATAGTATACAGTAATTTTTCATAAACTACAATAAGTGACAAAACGTATACTTTTGYTTGTAGGTCTCCTCCTCGTTTCGGAATTTTGAATAAACTTTATTATGTTTATTCTTTCGGTTTCCTTATCATTCGTATTGTTGCAGTTGCTTTGTTTGCTGCTAAAATTCATAACGAAAGTGAAAAGCCGAAATTTTATTTAAATACTTTGCCTCATTTTCTATGGAATATTGAAGTGAGACGAAATACAATTTTGCTTTCTCTTAAAATCAATTTTCAGATTGAGAGATATTTTTATCAAATTAAATATAATCRAGTGGTACTCACAGGACATAAATTATTTAAAATAACCAACACTTTAGTTTTACAGGTATTTTCACTTTATTCAGTTTCAAATTTATAATTTAWTTTTTTAGATAACAGTAACGATTGTAACTTACGAACTAATTTTAATTCAGTACGTAAGATTGTCGTAAATAAGTAAAAAAAAATATTACATTTATTTTCAAATTTTTTGTTTGTTTACGGGTGTGTAAAATGGTGGATGCGCCAGGATAAATGTAGTAAAGTTACCCCTACTTAAAAATTAAGTGATTTGGATAACTGTTGTTTACGTTTTAAGCTACAGTGGCATTATTTTGAAACCAGTACAAAAGTGTTTACTATATCAATAGAAAATGTTTTTCTATGCCAATTCAAAGCAGCAAAAAATCGTTAATTTCGAATAGCCGTAACCTCGACAGCCAGTAATTACGCAGCACATAAATTTTTTACACACACTAAGTGTGCCCACATTAGGGAAAGAAAAAACGTATCTGAGTAGTGCATCGACATATATAAGACTCCTGACCTTAAGATTAGGTTATTTGACAAAATGAGTGTGCAACCATTAGACACACCAACCCACGATGAAAAGTCTCAAATTTCACCAGCCGACACCGCAAATGTYATAAGTAGAGTGTCTTTGGAAAAACACAATTTACACAAATCCTTCGCTAAGATWCTTATGTTGGCACAAATTTTCGGATTTTTCCCGGTTCAAGGAATTCTTGGACGGGATTTTCGTTCAGTGCACTTTACATGGACGTCTGCAAGAGTCGGTTATACAATTTTGACCATTTTGGGGGCAACTTTTGTTACAGTTTTGCAACTTCATAAGATTTTTGCGAAAGGTTTGAACGTGATTGAAGTCAATCGGTTGTTTTTCTATTGTTCGGGGTTAGTTTCCGGTTATTTGTATTTGAAACTAGCTATGAAGTGGCCTCGGTTTATGAAAGACTGGAGTTCTGTTGAGATATTGATGGCAAGTTATGGCTGGCCTTCAGGACTTAACAGGAGGTTGAATGTTTTACTTACAGTTTTTATGTCACTAGCTTTAGGTAATTGTGACCAAAGTAGAAAGGAAGTATTTGTAATTACGAATTTCAGTCGAATATATCTTGATGCAAACAAACAAACTCACCTTGGCTTTGGAATGTAATAACAGTACTTCAGAAGGGTTTGATTATTTTTTTGGCAAAATGTCCTACTCTCACATTTTTGCGCTAATGGATTACAATATTGTTATGGCTCTTATTTTGCAATTTATTACATTACAACACACTTTTATTTGGATTTTCAACGATGTTTTTGTCATGCTACTAAGCACAGCTTTGGCGTCCAGATTCAATCAAGTGACTGAAAGAATTCAGTCAATGTCTGACTCAAAAGTAGGTWAAATTATTACGAAAAAGACCACTAGGATTTGTTTGTAGAATAAAAATGAAAGTGCTTGGAAAAACTTGCGACAAGACTACAATCGACTTTGCAGACTTTGCAAAAAAGTTGATGAAGAAATATCGTACATAGTTCTCATGTCTTTTGCTTCTGACTTGCTTTTCATTTTAATCCAATTGTTTAATAGTTTYAGACAGATGAAAAATAATTTGGAACGAATCTACTTTTACTGGTCTTTTGGTTTTTTGCTTGTGCGTACAGTTTGTTTGTGTCTTTTTGGTGGAAAAGTTAACGATGAAAGTACACAACCATTGTTGGTTTTAAATTCAGTTTCGGCAGATGTGTATAACTTAGAGGCAAACAGCGTACTTACTTATTTTTTATTTCTTATTATTGTGTAATTTTTAGATCCAAAGATTTATACACCAAATTGGGACACTTGAAGTTGCTTTTACGGGCAAAAACTTTTTCAGTATTACTCGAGGACTAATCCTCAGCGTAATTTTGAAAAAATATTAATTCATCAACCATAACAGTTTTTTTCAGATTGCTAGCGCTATAGTTTCCTACGAGTTGGTTTTAATGCAATTCAATGATAGTTTATTGGAAACTATTTCTGAACAAATTGATTCTTGTCCCGTTTATCTGTAATGGTACCATGAAGATAATTATATTTATGTAAGAATTATTGATTAATGAGTAAATTTAATATAGGAAAATTTTATACTTTTACTTATTTGTTTGTTTCCTACAAAATACATTTTCCAAACCACCGTAAATCATATCTTCAAAGTTCCACTTTAAGGCATTTAACAATACTGATAAGAAATCATAAATATATTATGAGAAATTTCCATTAAGGTTGTAAGCAACCAAATCAAATCTTCAAATACGATCGAACTGACATGATTACAATTTAAAAGTAAATTAAGTAAGCCCCATTTATGTGATTTTGCCCGGTGAAGTGACCCACAGATATGGAAAAGTCGACAAAAAAAAATCCAGTTTCCATCGCAAAAAACAACGTACACAAGTCTTTCAGTAAAATGTTGATCCTTGCTCAAATTTTCGGATTTTTGCCAGTGCAAGGCATCCTAGGCCCCGATTTTCGGTCTCTACATTTTTCTTGGAAGTCATTCAGAGTTGTATACTCAATTTTTACTCTTCTTGGGACATGTCTCATCTCCGCCTTTCAAATGCAGAAAATCGCTACTAAAGGATTAGACTTATTGGAAGCTAATCGATTATTCTTTTTTCTTACCGGAGTTGCGGCAGCACTTTTCTACTTACATTTGGCCAAAAAGTGGCCAATCATTTTGAAAGACTGGTGCCTGGTTGAGTCAACATTTGCTAGTTATGGGTGGCCCAATGGACTCAACAAAAAGTTGAATATTTTAATGATTGTTTTCATGTTAATTGCTTTAGGTGAGCATTGTTTGAGGATTTTTTTCTTGTTGGTTAAAAACATTTTTAGGGGAACATATTTTGGTCCAAACAAACAAGCTTGTGTTATCGCTGGAATGCAATAATAGTACTGCTGAAGGTTTTACGTATTTTCTTAGTACTATGTCTTTTAAACATATTTTTGCCTTGGTGGAGTATGATATTTTCAAAGCTCTGGTTTTGCAAACCATCAATCTTCAGATTACTTTCATTTGGACATACAATGATTTGTTTGTAATGTTGATAAGTACGACTTTGGCTTACAGATTTAGTCAGATAACCCGAAGAATTACATCGGTGGCTAAAGCAAAGGTATTAAAAAATAATAAGAAAAAACATTTATGGAGAGTTGTAGATGAAAAATGAGATTATTTGGAAAAATCTGCGGGAAGATTACACCAGACAATGCAAACTTGTTAAAAAAGTTGATGAAGAAATTGCTTATATTGTTCTTTTGACATTCGCATCCGATTTACTATTCATTTTAATTCAACTTTTTAATAGTTTGAGACAAATGAGGAATAATTTAGAACGATTATATTTATACTGGTCTTTTGCTCTCTTAATATCACGAACTGTTTGTTTATGTCTATGTGGTGCTAAAGTTCACGATGAAAGTATTAAGCCATTGTTAACACTGTATTCAGTACCTACCGAAATTTATAATCTGGAGGTAAGGTCATAGTGAGAAAAAAAAKTWTATGAAATCATTATTTGTTTAGTTTCAGAGATTTGTTCAACAAATTGCAAATAAAGATATTGCAATAACTGGCAATAATTTTTTTAGTATTACCAGAGGGTTAATTCTTAGCGTAAAAATTTGACTGTGGTGAGAAATTGTGATAAATAAACCATGTTTTGCAGATTGCAGGAGCTATAGTAACTTACGAATTAGTTTTAATTCAATTTAGCCCTAATTTATTAAAGGAGGAGCCAAGACAAGAAGGCTCTTGTCCAACTTACGCTTAATTTTACAGTAAAATTAAATTAATTAAATCAGATATTATTTTGTATTTAATGCATTTAACTTAAATTAATGTTTGATCTGTCGCTATTTTTTTGATAATATTTCCACTCTAATTGTTTCCTTTCTAGTTAAATACTTAAATAGTTTTGTATTTCTGTTGTGTTTTGTTTTGACATTAGTCAATATTAACTGCAAAAAAATAGAATAGATGAAAATTATAAAGGAATGACTTGAAGTGTAAATTTTCCTAAGGAAATTTTAGGATTCGCGGATATAAAATAAGTTCTATTTATGTATTTTTATTTTTTTATACATATAACTAAATAGCATGAAAATATTCGTAATATTTGTAAAGTCTTGGTAACTGTATTATTATTGTTTCGCACATATTGTACATTAATCTAATAATAAATTATAGTTTTAGTTTGTTTTTATTAAAAGAAACTTTTACTCATATATTATCACAAAATAACTACCCTTCTTACGATCAGGCTTAACTGTTAACAACGACTGAGTTAAACATTATTATCAAAAAAAAGTTTAGTCAAAAATGTACAAAACAGCTTTTTTATGCAATAAAACGGTCGCTCCTTGTGGCCAAAATGATTTGGTTATTTTTCATTTTACAGAACGACTAACTCTGATTCAAGTTGTATGAAATTTAATAAGACTTCAATTAAAAGTATATGTTTGTGATTTTGTTTTTAAATTGTTGTTCATACAATAACAATGTTTGTACTACATATATATAATAAAGTAGTGAATTTGCGTTGTAATTTTGTTTCAAGAATAAATTTACTTCAAGGTTTTTTCTTTTAAATAGAGGCTTTTAGTGGCGGAAATCGTTGTTAATAGAAACATAGCAGTGTGTTATTTATTATTTTGAAAAGTGTTGTTTTCACAACATTAATGTTGTTGACTTGTTTAACATACACAATGGTGACAGCTTTAGTTTTATTAAAAATACCTACTCATTAAATTTTCATTTTGTTTGGTTTCGTTTTCAAAACACTTTATTTCCATTCAGTCGCATACTAAAACCTCAACATTTAAAATGAAAGTGGAAACTATTTCCACAAAAAATTACAACGAAAATACACTTCATTCTGCCTTGAAATTTTCTTTAAAGATACTTCAAATATTTGGATTTTTTCCTATAAGTGGAGTGTCAGGACCTGATTACAAATCTCTCAAATTTTCGTGGTGCTCCTTCAAATTTTTATACTCACTCTCTTGTTTATGCATTCTTTGTTTATTTTTAATGACAATATTGTATAAAGCTCTTTTCATGGATGAAGTGACACAAAAAACAAGTACACAAAAAATGTGGATTTGTGTAATAAATATTTAAAAWTTGAAATTTGTTTACAGCTAATATTTTATTTTATCTGTCTGCTACTGCAACCAATATATTATTTCTACATTTGGCAAAAAATTGGCCAAGATTTATGTACGAATGGAATTGTGTAGAAATGATTATGGGACCCGTTGGGATTGGTCGTAATTTAAAAAGAAAACTAAAAATTATAACTGCAACCATACTAGCTATAGCTGCAGGTAATAAACAATTGCCAATTAACAAYTTTAGTACAATTTTTTTATAGTTGAGCATATCCTCGTTCAATGTTATATWATTACAATTTCTTTTTTTGGAGAGTCTAGTTTAGAATCTGACTTAAAACAATTTTATACAAATGCTTATTCTGACATTTTTTCAATAATTGATTATTCTTTATCGAAAGCAATTTTGCTAAATATCATAACACTAAGAAGCACTTTTTCGTGGACTTTCGTTGATGTATTTATAATGRTAATTAGTACAGCTTTTGTCTTTCGGCTTAAACAACTCAATGCAAAAGTTGAGATGTTCAGCAAAGCTAAGGTGAAAGATGTGGCTCTTTGGAAGCAACTCCGATATGAGCACTATCGACTTTATCAACTGAGTATCCTTTTTGATAATAGGATATCCTATATTGTTATTGTTTCATTTGCAACTAARTTATACTTTATCATAGTACAACTTTTTGGAAGTATGAAAATTGTAAAAGGAACTTTGAAAACAGTCTACTATACTATTTCTTTTGCACTTTTAATAATGCGACTAAGTTCGGTTTGTTTATGTGGAGCTTCGATTTATGGCGAGAGTAGAAAAATCTTACCTTTATTATTCACAGTCTCTTCGTCCTCATACAACTGCGAAGTATTAATTGTAAGTTTGTAATTAAAAAAAAACATAACAATTAGTTTTTAGGTTGAGCGGTTTATCGATCAGGTTATAAAAAATGAAATAATACTTACTGGTAAAAAATTCTTTAAAATTACAAAAAAACTCATTTTACAAGTAAATTTTTCTAAACCTATTTTTTTTATTTTTGGCAATATTTTTTAGATTGCTGGTGCTATTGTGACTTATGAACTAGTGGTAATACAGTTTAACCTACGTCTAACAGAGGATGACAGTGATGAAATTAATTTACTTTCATAAGTACATATACAATACAATATGCTCCTAAAAATGAGAAGAAAAAGGATAAAGTTACTACTAACTGTAAAATGATTACCTATTTAGTTTTATTTTTAGTATGTGTAAATATAATAAAAAACAAGTGGTTGCAAGTTTTCCACACGTGGAAGAAATTCAAAGTTTTTGACTAAAAGTAAATGTTTTGTTTACGTTCCATTAAACGTAACTTTGCTTTTGATATAAACCAATAAAATCATTAGCTGAAATAAATTATTTCTTGTTTTGATCGGCGGGTATATATAAAAATATATTTTCTTGTCACTTAATTTCTTTTAAAGGAGTCATACGTAAATACATTTCTCTTAAACAAAGATGAAGTCTATCTCGTGTTCCTGGTACGTATACATTTTTTTAATATTACTGTTTTTCCTACAAACCCGGCACCTCCACCAAAAGTAAATGGGAAAAATTTAATTTTTAAAATGTTTGCGGACATGATAACAAAACCACATTGTTTACAGTAACAGACAAAGAGGGTAGGATAAGCAAATATTTTGCTTATTGGCTATAGTTTTATCAGAGTGTTATCTGAAATTATTATTTGTGTTCTATATTCCAAAAAGTGGCAAGAATTGTTATGAATTTTTTTAAAATGTTGTTTTCTAGGGCTGCAAATAAGACACAACCTAAACAAAAATCTCCACAAAAAGAAGAAGAAAACGTGCATAAGTCCCTCAAATCTGTTATAGTAATAGCACAAATTTTTGGCTATTTTCCAGTTCAAGGTGTTTTAAGCAATGAGCCTATTTTRTTAAACTTCAGCTGGTTTTCGATACGTGTGARTTCATCATTGGTTACAATGATCTTCGGAATTATTATTGTTGTTGGACACATTAGACTTATGATCATCCGTGGGGCTTATAGCCAATTTGAAATGAGTAAAAAACAAGACGTATTAAATTTTCATAAAAATTGATTTACAGATGGTGTGATTTTTCATGCTTGTGGAACACTTTCATGCATATTTTTCATTAAATTGTCGATGGAATGGCCGTCGATCATGCTAAAATGGCAAGAAGTCGATTTCAAAATGTCATCATATGGATGGCCCAAAAATTTGAATTACCGGATACATATAATATCGGCGATTTTTCTTTCCTTAGAAGCCGGTAAAGCTACTTTAAGGTTTTCCAACATTTGACTAGTTTTTTTTTAGTCGAACATCTCTTAATACAATCCAGCAAACTTGTCGTAGCAATAGAATGCAGAGGCTCGTTTACAAAAGGTGTCGAACACTTTTTGGTAAATATGTCGTTCCCTCATATTTTTGACATTATAAAACCTAACACTTGGTTGGGAATACTTTTGCAAATAAATAACACAAGAATGGCTTTCTCTTGGACATTTATTGATGTTTTCATAATTTTGATAAGTTGTGCCTTAGCTGCAAGGTTTGGTCAAATTAACACACGAATTCGTTATTTGACTAACATGAAAGTAAGAAAATCGTCACTTTTGGGGTTTCATAATAAGAATGTCTTTTAGGTTACTTCTGAAAGAAGTTGGAGTAAACTTAAGGAGGACTATAACAGATTATGTCATTTGTGTTTGTTGCTTGATGAAAAAATGTCCTACATTATTCTAACATCGTTTTTAAACAACTTTTATTTCACTATTTTTCAAGTATTTGAAACTTTGTATCAACACAAAATTACAACTTTAGAAACCGTTTATTATTTTATTTCTTTAAGTTTATTGATTTTGCGACTAGTTTCTGTTTGTCTGTATGGAAGTTGGATCAATGAAGAAAGTAAATTATCTCTAGATTTACTATCGTATGTACCACGTGATATTAATAACAAAGAGGTAGGTGGTTACTTATCTAAAATAAACATTAAGRTTATTTTTTTAGATAATCAGATTTGTTGAAACCTTGAAKTATCAAAGTGTGAGTCTAACAGGAAAGAAATTTTTTAAAATCACCAAACAACTCATATTAAAAGTAATATTGGTCAAAAGTAGTATCCTAATTAGGTTTTTAATTCTAGATTAGCAGTGCTGTAGTCACGTATGAGTTGATAGTCATCCAGTTTAGGAAAAAAATGGAAAGAGACGAAAAACCTTATACAAGAAATAATATTTGTTAAAAAATTCAAGAAGTGCTGAAAATGTTATATTGCACTGTAACTCAAACTCTTATTTTGGGTGAGTATATTGTAWAAATATAAGTTTGTAAGTAACAACTGCTCCAGCAATCTAAGAGAGTTGTTTTGGTCATTATTCCATTTGCATTAACCAATGTCCTATCTACAAATAATAAACACTGAAAAAATAATCAATTGTTTTTTACCTCCTCATTGTAAATTTCACTTAAAACGTCAAATAAAATTCTGATTGGTTTCCCACTTTCGGAATTAATTTTTGATGATTAATAATAATAGACAGAAAGTAATCGAACAATGAGGATCAAGAAAAAAATACTTTCTCACAAGACAATTACTTAAGAAAATTGCTTTTTATTTTTCTTTGATTTAACCAAATATTTAATTAATATTTAATTAATTACTTAATTACTTATACATTTATTAAAATAATCATATTTGAACCGTACGGTAACACTATAATGCATGAAATCGTCTCATTTATTTCACTAACTAATCTCCTAATTTCCCTATAATTGCGTTTTATAGGTAATCATCCAGAAATTTATATTGTAATTACATATTTTAAATATAAAAAAAGTATTCCCCTAACAAAACTTGGAACACGTAACACATATCATAATTTATTAATTATTACAAAACACTAAGAGTAAAATGTATAACAGCCACTCAATTTTAAATATTTAGGGTATGTACAAGTAGGTTACGCTAAACTTTTCGTCGAGATTACATCACTTTTGAATAAGTCTGGGCCTTTTCCTAAGAAACTGCAAGAAGAATATAAGTGATAGGAAAACAACGCAAATAAGTTAAATCACTTGAAATACTCCTTTTTTTTCAGATTTTTCTCATTTTTAATCGTAAAATAGTGATATAATCAAAAGGAATACATAAAACAAGCCACTACAGCTATGTAAAGTGAGTAAAAAAATTGCCAACTGAAGTATGTACATACATACTTAAATTGTAACTACATTGGAGTGCGAAGAGCCCTTGCACGAGAACATATCCTGTAAATAAGTAAAAGTTTCGTTTTAAGACTTTAATGACTGTCATAAACATTATTTCTTGCAATTAATTTGAAAATAAACTTTATCATTAAGTTATAATAAAGCGCGTAAATATTTGGTGGCTGTTATTGTTCGTGAAACAACTCGTGGGTTATATAAGTGTCGATCAATATGCATGAAATTGTATATTTTAGTTAAAGAATAAAAGATTGGTGGTTATACAAAATGAAGTATTTTATTTTTACCCACCCGTATTCATTTTAAGTTGAATTATAATAATCAGAAACGAAGTTACAGAATTACAAATACTGAAAATCATTGATTTATTAATCGTGAAAAACCTCGCCGCTGTGAAACTCGGTCGAAGATTTAATAAACCTTTAATAATTTCTTCATTTTTTCTCGGATTGTCAAAAACAACACTCCAGGTTTCCATTCTGTAAGCCACACTCAGGATTTGATCAAATTCTTTTGAAACAAGATCGCATAAATAAATCGCATGCAAAAGAACGGTCTGGAAAACGAAATAAAAAAAATAAATCAATTAAATTACTTACCCCAAATAACAAATTGGTTGAGAAGTTTCCAAGAAAAAAAAATATGTTTTGTTCTTTTCTGAAGTCTGTTAAAAAAATTTCGAAATACACTAAAATTCTGGGTACTGAGAAGAAGATTGTTTGGAAAAACGTCCATCCAAAAATATCGTTAATAATCCCAACGGCTTGATTTAACAAAAATAAGTTGAATTTTACTTTTTTCAAATTGTGTTGGGTTAAAAAATGCGTTTGGTATCTGTATTTCTCGACCAAAATTTTCAAAATAACGTTACTCAGAATGAGATAAACGAAAAGCGGATACCCCTCAACAAATTTAATCAAGAGTGTKTTTGTAAACACAAGCCAATTTGTAATTACAGTAATCCAACACCAAATGTTCAACATAAAAGTAAGGACAAAAATTAAATGTGTCACAATCACAAAAGAGTAAAACTTTCGACTCAATTTTTTTGATTTAAATTGAAACAAAATTCTGAAGAGTGTGAACCACTTATGACGTTGAAGAGTCATCACAGTGATAAAAACGTGGTAAATGTGGAGATATAGACTGGCATCCACTATGTTTCTTAGAACTAATTGAATGGCATTAAGATGTGCGTCCATTTCTTTTCTTTGACACATACTGTAAATTTCACAAATCGTGTAAATAATGAACATAAAAATTGGATACGATTTTTGGTAACTTCTTATCGGTTTTTTGCGAATTCTCGAAGGTGTGATGGCAAGAAATTTTGCCACGTAAAAGCATGTTTTGACTGATTTAACGTCCATTTTCAACTATTCGAAAAATATGAAACTTTTTTCTTTATTAATAGTGATTAGGAGGAAAAAGAAGTTTTAATGTGTTTGTTTGAAGAAATTGATGTAGTTGTATTGGAAAAGTAGAACACTATGTAGGTATTAAAAAGACATTAAAAAATTAGAATCTTTGCCAATAGTGAAAATAGTGTCCAATTATAGGAATATTTAAAAAAAAGAAATTACTCATTTTTTTCCTTCAAATTTGACTACAATTTTAAAGAGTGGACCGTTTATTACGTTAAAAGGTCACCACAGTGATAAAACTGTGTAGAAATAAAAGTTTGTGCCGATTGTTTCATTGTTGAGTTAAATAATAATAAAATAACGTATTTTTCTTTGATTCATGTACATGGTGTTTTTTCGATAAAGATAAAAATGACAAACACAAAAATTGGGTACAATTTTTTGTGAATTTTGATCGCTTTGCTGTAATTTGCCGAAGGGTGGTCGAAAAAAAAATAGGTCATGTAAAAAAGTATGTTTTGATTGATTTGACGCACATTTGCTAGTATTCGTATTTGAATTATAAAACAAATTTTGCAGAATTTATGATGAGAGTTCCACTACTCTTTGTTATTTTCATTAGCGATATAAACGTCCTCGGATAAATCGAGAAACAAAATTAATAATAAAACGACTTAAATCGAGTAGCAAACTATGCATACGACACAAATGTTTTGGTCGCAAGCAATAATATCCAGTCTTATTTTWAAAAAAATTGAAAAATGGTGTAATAACAATAACTTAGTATTAAAGAAAAACAAGTTAAAGTTTATATGGTTTAAAAAATATCTAAGTGTAATAAACAGAAATTTCGTAAAAAGTTATAAACAAATTATAAGCAATGAGATATCGGAAGTTTCGGAAAATAAAAAAATTCTTCGAGGGCTCATATAGATTGCAATTTAAATTAGCTACTCTCTCAGATTAAAAAAAATATCTTGAAATATAAAAACTTTGTATTTTTCGAACTTTGGATCGCATGTCAGGTACGAAGTGATTCTTTGAGGGCAAAGCAGCTCGATTGACAGAATCAGTTATTTGCAAAAGAAAACACTTCGTGTATCCTGGGTATCAAATTCATCGAAAACAGCTGCAGAGGTCGTTTTAAAGAAAACAAAATATGTATTAATAGTCACTATAATACATTTATGAATTATTACTTTTTATTTTTTAAGGAAAAACAAAACTTGAATATAAACTGTACCTACAACACTAGGACCCCGCACTTCAAATTTCATGTTCATAGACTTACTGTAAAACTATAAAAACAGCTGTTAAAGTTGTTAATTTTTTACCCGTTTCCTTGAAAAGTATTTTCAATTCTTTGTATACATATCTAGTTGAGAATCCTATAGACCTCATGATAAATGTATAAGTAGGTATGTTGTTATGTTTCTATTGTTCGTACATTTGAATGTATACGAGTATATAAACGTGTATTTTATTATTCTTATTGTATTTTTTATAATTAGTGAAAGTATGTATTTTAATGTATTGATCCGAACGATTAATAAAGTATTATTATTACTATTCGAAGAGAAGCAATTTCTTATGTAGGAAACACWAGTCTTCATGTGTTATTCCACGGAAATAATACAACTTGTATAAGAACAAATACTAATAAAAATGCTTAAAGAATATTTCTTTAGAGTACATTATGTTATACCAGATCGTTATTTATACTACTTGTAGTACTTGTTTATAGGAATAAAGCCAGACTGGTTTGTAACTAGTATTTTACAGATTAATGGGATACAAAGAAAAACACGTTATCACCTCATTACAAAAATATATTTTTTCCACAAATAATGTAGTCAAAATGAAGTAGACACAAAATTATCACATCTTTTAATAATGCACCTTAATTTATTTTTAAATCTACAACAAGTGCTAAATGATCTGAAGGGTAAACTTCATTAGGTAATCCTTCATAAACAGCAAGCTCGTCATCTTTGGGAAATGGCACAACGTTACAAACTCTCATTTTGTTTTTCTCTATAAAAATATAGTCCAAGCAGCCTCTAAAATCATTTGTGAAATTTGTATACGTTGGTGATCCACAGGCACTTTCAAACTGGAAATCATGTTTGAGATTTATGTTGTTAACAGCTATAAAATACGTGTATTAAATAAAACAAAAGAATTAAGATATTACTTTTTTCAAACACTTGGTTATCTCTGCTAAGTTTTCCTTTAGTCAAAAATTCATAAACTGTGGATGTTGGTACACTGTTAAAATCACCACATAAAATTACCCTGACGGTGTTACCATCCTGCAAAAAGAAAATCCTAAAATGCTAGTCTAAAATATTTAAAAAATACCTTGCTATAACCCTTGTGTAACAAACTCAAATAGGTTGTTGCCATGCTTGTTTGTAAAACTCTCACCAATTCAGCGTCAGGGTGATAATAAAGATGTGTATTTGCGACAATAACAAAAACATTTTTGTTTGAAATTTTTGTGTTTAAAACTGTGATTTGTAACGACGTCATTTGTTTCATAAAACAATCTTTTAATAACGTGTTGGATTCAATTATAGTTCTTAAATATTTGTAATGATTTTTCTTGTAACTATATTCTTGACTAAAAATTATCTGGTGCTCATCAACTTTTCTATAAATATAGAAATTATAAGCAAAATGAACAACCATTTAAAAAAACGTACTTGAATCGCGTTTTGTTGAAAAAGCATGCTAATCCTTCTGGAATTTTGTTGCCTTTTTTGTGATAAAAACTTTGATAATTTTTATTTTTAAATAAGTCCTTATAATAAGAATTGTAAGCAAAATTGTCTACTTCTTGCAAACAAAATATATCACTATTATAGCCTGCAGAAGCTTTTATTACGTCTGATTTTAAAAAATATCCAAGTAACTACCTGATAATTCTTTAGCTATTAGTTGTTTTCTGTAATCTATTGCTAAGAATCTAGGAGGGCAGTATGAAAACTGCTCATTGTCGACATATCTGTTAGATAAGATGTTATAAGAAACAAACCTAAAACTGAGGAAAAGTTTTAGTAAATGTGTTTTACGTTACATTTTATAATTACCAATTGTCTGTAAGTTGTGTGGTGGTAAATTCATGCCTTTTTTCAAACGGACACATGGGTAAATCGCCCATTTCTACCACTTTACAGTCTGACACAACCTCAGTTGCAGGTCCTGTCAAAACACTACAGCAAGGCACACAAACTAATTTTATATAATGGTCAACATCCTCGTCACTTGGTTTGTATCTGGAAGTGTTCCCTACTTTTGTCCAAGTGGCCTTATCTTTGGACTTAAACCAAATAAATTTACTTGAGTTTTTATCACCAAACAAAATATACAAACGACTAGGTTGCACCTCATAATTTGCATACAAAACCTGAGGGAGCTTTATCTCTTTAACAAGTGGTGCATTAATTACCACCATGTAACGCTGATCAAAAATTTCAAACTCCACATTGGTCATTTTAGAGTTGATCAAATTCTTCAAAATCATTTTAGATTTGATTGGCTTTTGGATTAAGGCGTTTTTGAGCGATATATTCACTTGAACTTCATCGTCGGATTTAATTTGGTCTTGTTTTTTTAGTTTCTTGATGGAGTGTTCGATTTTGTTTACTATGTGTTGGAGGAGGGACTCCACAGTGTCTGTACTTCGGCGAACTGCTCTCACTTCTTCTTGTAGTACGCCTATTTTCGGCAGTTCCACATTTAAGTTAAACAGTAATTCGCACTGATTCTTCAATTCGAATTCTCTCAAATAAGCAGTTCCTGGACGTCCTGGGAGGGCTTCCATTTCTTAGATTACACACAACTTTTAGGTTAGGTCTAGGTGTTAATGTGCTGACTACAAATCTATTATATTCAAGAACATGATGTACATTTTACGCATCTCTTGTGTCGTTCAACAAAGTAATTTAAGTGCYGTTAAAGTTATTTGTGGTAAATTCAACAATTTAATTTTATTAAAACTGAAACACCGACTGGATATGCAACCAGTTATTCAAGACTATATTCTGGCCGCCAACCTGTTTGTTTGATCGCAAAAGCCGCGCTTTTCCTTACAGACGGATCTACTATTTCACAATTAATTCATTAAATTATTTATAAATTAGCTTAAGAATTGTTGTAAAAGTTGTAAACACTGACAGTCATTATAATAGTGTAAGGACTCATTCATTAAAATAATTGCATTTTTCAATGACAATTTTTTTCATATACTAAAAATCCCTCCCATAAGCCGCAGTGTTTTTGTCACTATAACAGCGACAAAAGTTTGCCCTAACTATTACAGCGACAAAACGGAACCTAACTTTTGAAAGCGTCTGAATGTAGTAGTACTAACTAATCTACACCTTATTTGTTAATTTAGTGATWTACGTATTCATTAAATTGTCTTACCGAATTACACTCAAGCTATTTTTTTTCACGAAAAAAACTTAACATTTTTAATTCGAGTTTTGTTTCCTTTAGGCAATTTAACTCAAAAAGCGGCCAGAAATTACTCGTTCTACGGACTCGTAATTTTTTCAGAAGCAGTTTTTTTCGTTAAATTGCCAGAAAACAAAATTCCCATTAAAATGACAAGTTTACTTGGAAAAGAAAAAGCTCTCGTGTAATTATAAGTGAAAATAATAATAGTTATTTATTATACAGGACGATAAATATAAATAAATTGTTTATCTAGGAATGAAAAGGTTAAGTTTACGAGTGACGAAGTCACGAGTGGACTTTTTTCATGAGTAGATAAACAATTTTATCGTCGTGTATAATATTTCGTTTTATTTTGTACTCACCTACCAGAATTTTTTGTGTCTGGCATATTTTTTTTACGTTTTTTATTTATTTTTTAATGAAAATTGGACATATTGAACACTGCACCATCCATCTTCACGCTGGTATTGATGGTTCTTCTACACAGTTCTTTTCTTTACTAGTTTAAGTTTAAGTTATTAATAAAGGGTATAAACAGTAGATAAAAAATACTTTATTTCACTAGACGATAAAAGACTACTTTATCTACTGAAATTAGTTGATAAAATAAATATTTTTTATTTTACATGGGCGAGTGGATGAAAATCATTTCGAAACACGTTGTACCTATATTTAGGTATATATGAGGAACCTAACTTAAAGCAAAATCATACTCGAATTTTGTTATGGTATAAACAAATATTAATTTATAATTTAAAATCAGTAATACTAGAAAAAATTTTTTTAGAATCGGTTTAACCAGGTCTAACTGTTGTTTTTGACTTGTATTTTTTGTAATTTATTATTACTATGCATTTTTAACGTCTTTTTTAATGAAATATTTTACACTTAAATCCAGAAATACACAGTCATGCTTTTGCAAGCACGTAGTATAAATTTTGGGAAAACGTACATTAAAAATGCTTACAAAAATTGCTTACTACTTTTAAAGAATTTAGTTATTTAGAACACATATAATAACTGTAAACGGGTAATGAAAAATGCAATGAACTAGCAAACAATAAAGTTGCAAAATTATTTAAACCAACATCCTTCATGCAAATCTAACGTCAATATTTTTAAACTTTCTTTGCCTTTGAGTGACACTGATGCAAGAGTCTTATACATTTTGCAATGATTGCAAGAAATTGCGTAGTAGCTGTAGTAAAATGGGTGGCTTCTCCCCTTGTAGTTCAATACAATTTAATAACTAAATAAGTGAGCACTCCAATATTGACTTGATTCTCAATATTGGTGATAATTAATTGATTGCTGATAGAACCTATCAGACAAGAATGAATAGGATAATTTTTTCCTGTGATTTGCATTTTTACTCTATTGACTCTTATTACTATGCAGAATTTATATAGGCATTATTAGCGGTCATTAACTTTGTGACAGCAAAAACATCGCCTTCATAACTCATTCATCAGGATTTCAGGATTGCAGCAATCAGTTTTCACTTTTCAGGCAGTTGGTAACAATTCGAATCGATATTTTATCAAAATAAATACAAAATATATATGTTCGTGCTTTCGATACGATCTCTATCATTAAATTGGCTCGGAGGAAACGAGAGTAATAAAGTTGAATTGTCCTCATGCACGAATTGAATGAATAGTTAGTTTTCACAAAAGCATATCAAGAGTGTGGAATTTGTTATAGGCGCACGTGCGTCCTACAAAATTAACAAGTTTTGCACAAATTCCCACTTACATAAAGTGGAGCAGACTTAATAAACTGACAATCACAAACCCTTTGATAAAAATTTTAATCCAATGAATCATATTGCAAGGATATTCTTGCTTATAACTGTTCAGGGAGTCGAAGGTCCCCTGCTTTGATCTCTGTTTACTTTTTCCTGGAAATAATTAACGACTTAAAAACAATAACAGTGAAAATCATAAAATTTCATGGATTTGGTGCGGTATGGGTGGAATGTAAATAATTTTTCTCGTCGAATGTCTTACAACACATTAAAGTAATTAGTTTGACCTCTGTGCCTGGATAAAATCGCCGGTTTTCTTGAAAGTCGCAATCGATAAAAATGCTTTCATCAAATTAATCGACGCAACTAACACGCAATAAGCGCTTTCCTGAAATTTTTCAGTTATCCTTGACCGGACGAGGAACAGAGAAACAGTTCATTTATTAATGCTCAATCGCATCTTCTTTCAATTACCAATGTCTCTATAAAATTTAACGTGACCTAAATTGATTGCGACGAACATTTCAATAAAGATAAAACCGCTGAAAAGTATCGAATAACAAACACATGAATGGCCCATTTATCACGAAACCCACTTATTTAAAATTGAAATTATATGAAACGCCAACGCAACAATGAAACTGTCTGAAAATTTCAGACGACCTGATATTTTTTGCAGGTGTTGAAAGGCATCTGTTGTTGCTGTGAGCATTTTTCTTATTTAGTGATTAGTACTTGAGTACTGGATTTTTAAGTAAACAACAGTCAGGAAAAAAGATTACCATTATGCCGGGTTTCTGCGATGCCGCTTTTGTTCCTTAAAAGGTTAACAAACTATGCAGAAAAGTAATTTTGCGATAAAATCAGAGAAACTGGGCTGGAGTTGTTTGTTTAAAGTATGATTCGATCCATTGAGACAAGTTGGGAAACTGTAAAGTTTTCATTAGAGGGATTACAATGATTAACGACGGCTTATAAAGTATCACTTCTCTATAAATACTCAAACGAATTACTACCGACTAAACCTCAACCTACTTCGCGTAAATGCCACGAATACATTTCAACTTATCGGCAAATTTCACACAATGTTATCATTTCAATATTAATAGAATCCACTCGACTGTTTCTTGTTTTCTTAGTAGAATAGGTACCGTTTCAGGACTATTCACAACAAAAACAGGAAATGGCTGTTGACGAACAAATTCGAGTTTGTCTCTTTTGGCAATTCAAATCCTTAACAAAATAACACTATTCAAAAATATCCAGCCTTAGATTTGAAAATTTGTTAATGTAGGTGAAATTATTCGTGTCCTAAATTGAAAATTAATATTGAAACGTAAAAATTCCAAGATTAAGAAAGTTAAGAACCTTGACACGTCTTCCTTTGTTTGAAGTAATTAAAAGTTAGATCTGTTACTGATGGAGGGTTGGAAATTTGGGTCAATTAGGCCGAAAATATGAAGGCTGTAGCTTTTAGCTTTCAAACATATTTACACATCATTGGGGATGATGAGAATCAAGGAGACCGAAGCTGTTCCTAATTTTCGAGGACAGTGAAGTGTGCCTCAAAGATTATCCTGTTTTATTAAACGTTTTCCGAGGAGGTTCCTGCCAAAGGACGACAGTTTACGGGAAATTAAAAGTGTGTAATTAAATTTTAATAGCGTATCTTATTTGAAAGCGAGAGAACATTGTTATATTATACAGAGTGCCCTCTAAAACTTTTTCATCATTTTGTATTAAGTTTGTATTTATTGATATTTTGAAAAAGATACCATGATAATCGCTGAATTTGTAAATCGTTTAAATGTAGAAAAAGATTGAAATACCGTTTTTATATAATTGGCGAAAATGTAAAAAACTGCCAAATCTAAACAATAGTTCTAAGCTATGAGTTACAGCTTAAGAAAAAAATATATAAAAACYACAATAATTGTAATTGTTAAAAGTGTAAACAATAGTAGGTATATTAAAAAAACAATAAGGGTTACAAACACCCTCATTGTCATACGAGAGTTACAATGCACGAGTGTCACAAMGAGAGATTGTAACACGTGTTTTTTATACTATTTTTTAAATTGAATTTATCATCACCTTCTTGATTAAATGAAAGGAACCTTACGCAAATACGTAGCGAGCAACAAGGCTGTTTACAAATGTTGAAAAGAGATTATTGCTTGATCCACACGCATAAATAAYAAAAAACGGATTTTATTACTAACTTACGTTTGTATTCTTATATTAACGCGCATTATTTTAAACTTTAAAACAATCTTGGCTCCCGTGCATATAAGATAAATAAATTATCTTCTATTTCCACTGTTAAACAGACTTGATTATTTTTCAAAAATAGCAGTTATGCAACTTTTAGGTGGTTTTTACATATTTATCCACACTGTAGAGTATCAAAGACTTTACTTTAATATACCGGCACCCCATTATACAAGCTTTTTAGGTTACAGAAAAATATTTTCAGAGTGATTGAGTATCTTTGTACTATTTGCCACATTGAAATTTATGTATCTGGGATTGATTTTTTATTCTATTTTCTGATTATTTGTAATTTAGGATGAATTTATGATGATATTTAACTGTGGTTTTCTGTTGTGATTTATTTATCTGAATCAGTTGTAATCATTTATTGAAATTTTACAGGTTAAACTTTTTGTTACCCAAAATTGCTTTCCAATTTTTTTCTAATTTTACAAAGAACTATATTCTCTACATTTAATTTTGCAAAAAAATCAGTAGTAAAAAATTAGGAAGGGACTGACGTTTTTCCAAGGTTAAAAAACTGTTAAAGGTTAATAATTTCCCTTTATAATAAATTTAAA